TTCTTTCGTGTGTTGGAAGCCTCTCCCTGGCGCTCTGGCTCGTCTTGATGCCTCCTTGGAGGACGTGCGGTACCTCGTGGGGCAACGTTGGGCCACCTTGGCGGCATGGGGGACATTCCTGGGCACTTGTTGGCAGTGCTGGGTAGCTGTCGGGGAAGGTTGCCCCGGGTACAGGCTGCCTTGGGGTGGCAGTTCCCTTCCGCTCCGGGGCAGCGCCATGCAGGGAGAGGACACGAGCATGAAGAGGCGGAGGCGGAGGAGGCGGAGGGAGGGGAGGGGGAGGGGGAATAGGGAGGGGGAGGGGCAGGAGGGGGAGGAGTGGGGCAGGAGGAGGAGGAGGACCAGTATAAACCCAAGAGTCATCAACGATGATGGAATTCACCCTCCCTCCAAGTACCCCCTCATAGGCCCCCACAACGGTTCATTCCACTGAGGGAGCTGTCTTGTTGGAAGACAACCGTTTGAAGACCTTGAAGCATTCCAAAACATTGTTTTCGGGATACCCACGCAACGGATCAATGGGATTTCAACAACACCACTGTTGCACCCACATGATCCGGAATCCGTGCAAAACACCATTTCTGGTACGTTGACCATGGGAATCCGTGACACTCTTGCAAATGTTTAAGACACATGTGCGCGGCGCTGAGGCGAAAACCTCATGTTGAGAAGGAGCCGACCTCAATCCGTGATGTCTTGCGAATGTTGAAAAACATGTGCGCGGCGCTAAGGCGAGAGCCTCATGTTGAAAAAGAATCCGTGATGTCTTGCGAATGTTAAAAACACATGTGCGCGGCACTAAGGCGAGAGCCACATGTTGAAAATGAACCGCCCTCAATCTGTGATGTCTTGCAAATGTTTAAAACGAATGCGTTCGGCGGTAAGGCGAGAGCCACATTTTGAAAGGGACCGCCCTCCATCCGTGAAGCTCTTGCAAATGTTTAAAACGAATGTGTTCGGCGCTGCGGCGAGAGCGACATTTTGAAAACGTCCCTGTCTCAATCCGTGAAGCTCTTGCAAATGTTTAAAACAAATGTGCGCGGCGCTGAGGCGAGAGCCACATTTTGAAAACTTCCCGCCCTCCATCTGTGAAGCTGCTGCCATTTTTTGAACTTCAGAGTCATACATGGTGATGAGATCGCAGGCGAAACGCCCGGCCCGCCATAAAAATTGGCCTCTGGGTGCGACAGGGAGAAGTTAGGGAGAAGGAATGGAGGAGGAGGAGGAGGAGGAGGAGGATGAGGATGAGGGGCTGCAGGAGCTTCCGTGGGCAGGCGCTTTTGCAGGCTATTGCTGTCGCGTGGGCGCGTGCACGCGGCGCGCAGCTCGGCAGGAGTGGCGGCCCCGAGCGAGCGAGGGCCGGATTCCACCCAGCAGTCGGCGCGGACGGCGTGGCTTGCTGGTCGGGACCACGGGCGCTGGATAGGAGCGAGGGGCCGCTCCCAGCTCGAACGGCACGGCTGCAGCGCGACAGATCTCGGCCGTCCTAGATTTCTCATCGGCACTCGTTGTGTGCAGCCAGGGCACGACGCCACCGTCGGGCCTGCTACCCGTGCCCCCATCCAGTCCTGCACTCGCTTTCGACACCAGGCCATGCTAAACCGACCGCCAAACACCAGGAGAGGAATGAAAATCATTAGGCAGAGACGAGGGGAGAGAGAGAGAGAGAGAGAGAGGGAAAGAGAGAGAGAGAGAGGGAAAGAGAGACCAAGGAATAGTCGACGGATAAGGGATGACAGCGAGAGGTACGGGGACCAAGGTGAAGAGTGAGTCAGAGAAAAGTGCAAAAGATGCGGAGAAGAGCTGGATACCGATAATCATTGTAATTACGCAGAGGGCAGCTGTACGCCAAATGCAACCAATATGTGACTTCTAATTGACCCGTGTGGGCGGAGCCCCTTCTCCCGGAAGTTCACGCGCTCACAGTATGCCAGGGCCGTAGATAGTCCGGAGGTTGATAGACCTCCTGCCTTGGGAATGTCTGGGGGGTCAGGTCTGTAGGAGAGCCCGCAGGGGCGTCGGCAGGACCGTCTTAGTCGCTCGTTGCCGTGGCTCTTGGTTCGCACATTTACGCGTCAACTTCCCTTGGCTGTGCAACGCGAGTCCCCGCGCAAACTGCGCGTGACATCGAAGCCTCGCTGTGAAAATGTGCGGTCGCGCGTTCGCGTGCTTCGCGCTGCGCGGTGCGAAGCAAAACTCGCGCAGACAAGCGCGTGCTCGCGTGCTCCGCGGCAACGGGGCCGTTGGCGCCGCGGGCCATAGAACGAGCCGCGCGTCGAGGGACCCAAGGGGAACCGCGCTGTCGGCGAGCGAATGGTGCACGCAGAACTCAGGAAATCAAGACCGCCCCCCCGTCGCAAATTTGAAGTCGATCTTCGTTGTTCTACCATGTGGGCCGAGGTCGCAGACGGACGGCATCGCAAGACCGAGGCCGAAGACTAACACCGAGGCCGGAAACCAAATTGCATCGCAAGACACAGCTGCAAAACCAAGGCCGAGCACCGACGCCCTGGGGCACTGGTCGAAGCCGGCAACCGCGCCTAACCCATCGGACAACCCACCCCGAAGACCGACATATATGCAGTAGTGAGAAACAAACGACACCTTCAAGTGCGCACCAACAGCTACGAATCTGGAGCCACAGCTTACCCCAAACAAAATTCAAAACAACAAATTGACCCAAAAAACCTTCACACCAAAACGAAAACGGATTTCCGATTTAATCGCTTTCCCTGCTCCTTCTGGGGCCATTCCTACAGACGACCCCGTTCTCTGACCCCCGGACAGACCCAACTCCTGCCCTGACATGTCGATTAGCGCATTGGCCGTTTTCGGTTCGCGAGCGGGCGTCGCGGCCGTCGTTTTGGGGGTCCAGGTCCGTCGGTTTCGGTCCTAGGCCGTTTTCAATACAGGGTGGTTTACTACAGGAAGGTTTGCCCACCGCCGAACAGTTGGCGACCCCGTCACATCAAGCATCCACCGCCAGGACGCAGTTCAACCTGGGTAACCTGATGCTGCAGGCTGCGTGGCTGGGGCGGGCGAGGAAGGACGCGTGCCGGTTGGCTCGAGGCCCACGGGCAGCAGAGAGGGCGGTCATGAGGCTCCCAGGGGAAGCACGTTCAGAAGAGGACGAGCACAGAGGGGGGGACTGCGGTGAGCGGGGGGACACGTGGAGCACGCAAAGGGAGACGCCGAGACCACGCTCCTGCTCCCGTACACGCCCCACTCCTCCCCCTGGTCCTCTCCCTCTCTCTCTCCCTCTCCCTCTCTCTCCCTCTCTCTCTCTCTCTCTTTTTTTTGTTCTCTCTCTCTCTCTCTCTCTCTCTCTCTCTCCTCGTCCATCGACTGGGTGCCGCTTCGGTTCGAACCTCTCTGGACCCCCCTTGCGGGGCGCGTCGCCGAGGCAGCCGTGCACGGAGCGGTCCACAGCAACAAACGCATCCCCCCCCCCCCGCACACCGGCACCCCATGACCCACTCGTAGAGCCAGCCCCGACTCCGCACACTGCCCTGCTTCCGTCGACGTCCCCCGCCTCCCACCGGTCCTTCCCTCGGGCGGGGGTATAGGATGAGGAGTTCGTTCCAGAGCCTTCCGGAACGCTCTCAGGGCATTCCGAAGCGCTCTGAGCAGGCCGCGGCGGCCGAGACATCCTCCAGAGCCGCCGGATCTCAGAGATTCTCGATGAATCCTCGTCCGAATTTGTCCTCGTCCTGGCTTCGCTCTCTCTCTCTCTCTCTCGCTCCTCGTCCACTTCCTCATCCCCCCAAGCGCCCCACGACCCAGTCATCCCTGCTCGAAATTTCGCAGCACTGGCGCCCTCATTCGACTCTTCATCCCTCGTCCTCCGAGCACGCGCCCGCGACACTGCCCTGAAAGACCGTTCCTGGGCATGTCGCCTCGCACTCCCCAGATGCTCTGAGACATGTTTCTCCCCTCCTCTTCCTCCCAGAGGAAGAACAAGAGGGCAAGGGAAGGCTTTACGGGAGAGGGGAAGAATAATCTGGAGGAGGGAGGGGGAGCGAAGGAGGAGGAGGAGGAGGAGGCTCCTGCTCAGAGGAAGAGAGAGGGGGGGGAACTGCTTTTAGAGGAGAGGGGAAGATTCTGGAGGAGGGGGGAGGAGCGAAGCAGCAGGAGGAGGAGGATCACGTCTCCCTCCTCTCCCCTCCTCGCTCACTCGCTTTGATTTGTAACCGCAGTAAGTCCTTAGTTTTGCTCCTCCCCTCCCCCCTGGTTTTCTCGGCGGGGTATAAAACTCGTCCCTTCTCTTGTGTTGGGGCCCCAGTCCGTCAATAAGGGCGTCGAAACGATAATTAGTTTCCACCGTTGAGGGAGGTCTAAAGACTTTTCGCGGTTATCCCATGGGGGGCGACGCTGGCCGAAACCTTTGCGACGTGATGTGGTTCTGGAGGGCATGGCAGAGGCATGTGGACGGGCAGGACGAGGCGCTGCCCGTGCAAGCATTGTTCCTGTCGTTGGCCTCGTGACCCGCCCGCTCTCAGGGCTCTCTGGTTTATCCTCATCCAAGTTTGTCCTCGGTGTCGGCCAAGAGGGGGGTGATACCTAGAGGTGTGCGTGTGTGGGCTGAGGGTATGATGGCCAGGGACATGCTGTCTTCGCGGACATAATGCCCCCCCCATTTCTTCTTTCAACGTTCCCTGATCAACCCCTCGTTCGCGCACGCGCCTCGGGCCATGATTTGCGAACCCCCCTCTTGGTCGCGCCCCTCTTGGACGCCCCCGATCTCAAACTGCCTTCGTCTCAACCAGGGAGCACGTGGGAGCGGAGGGCTCGGGCGGGACGAACAACTAAGGAAAAGGGGGTCTACGAAAACTGCTGCATGCAGCTGATTTTCGCCCTGCCGCCGGGCCCATGCCCCCCGGCGCCAGGAGGCGCCAGGAAAACCAGCTACGTGAGCTGACTCTCTACCCTATCCCTTCCTACCCTACTCTTACGACCCCCCCCCCGACGAACACTGAGCAGCAGCGCGCGACATCCTCGCAGCCCGCCGTCTGGCGGTCGGGTTCAGAGCGCGCGCTGCGCAGCGGCGTTCCCGGCCGCCGCCATGGCGTTGCGCGGCGCCGCGGCGCCGTTGCGGGCCTTGGCGCGCCCGCCTGGCCACGGCGTCGGCAGGCGACGCGGGCGCCTTGTCTCTGTGAAGTCTCGGGGCGGGAGTTGGCGTGCCAGTAGGATAGAACATCCAGACACGATCGCGTCCAGAGTCAACGTGACGGGCAGTTCTGGTTTCATGTTTTCGGCCTTTGGGGGCCCTCGCTGGGCCCTGGGACCGTCAAAGACGACCCAGGACGAAACACAGGTCCCAGGGAAAGGGTCGGGACGTCTGGGGGGCCCGTGTTGAAACAATCAGCACGTCGCGTGTCTGGGAAACGACGCCACCGCCACAGGAGGACACCCCTGGCTCCTCGCGCTGGTGGTGGCGGCGTTGCCGTGCCCAGAGGCTGGGTACAGATAGGGCGCTCCAGAGAGGGCCTGGCCTTCGGCGCCGTCCTCGGCGCAAGCTGGGCGGAAGCAGAGCGGCTGCGGGCTCGCCGGCGGAAGCCGGGAGAAAGTCGGCGAAAATCGGCGGAAGCAACAGAATGCTCCTCCCATTCCCGCCTCCAGAGACGACATCTTTGGGGAGGGGGGTCAGCTTGCTGTTGCACGGCATGACGGACGGGGCTACGACCAGGAGAAGTCCGTTCCAGAGCGTTCCAGAGCGCACTCAGGGCTTTCCAAAACGCTCTGAGAAGGCCCCCGCGCCCGAGACATCATCCAGAGCCGCCAGATCTCAGAGATGTTCGAATTCTCGCCCGACGTTCTCCTCGTCCTGGCTTCGTTCGTCGCCGCCCGGCACTGACACTGCTCCCGGCTTCGCGCCACGGAGGTGCTTCGTCGTGGTGCCGTCCGCTCCCTCTGCTCCCCTTTCAGAACTGCGGAGGAGGGAACAACTTGTTTGGGGAGGGGTCAGTGTCGCCCGAAGCAGCCACATGAGCGACGCAAGAGAACGGGGCCGACGGCGCCGACATCGGCGCGTTCGCTGCCCGCGTAAGGTCGGGTAGGCGCCCTCGTTTCCAATGTCGCCTGCCGCGCTGGCGGCCCGCGCGCAGGGGGGGGGGGTCGGGGGGGGGAAGGCTTCTTAGAAGCTCCCCTGCTTCTCAGAAGGCGCGGGCCTCGTCTACAGCTGTAGGGGCGGCGCCTTCCAAGAAGCTGCTTTCTTCTAAGTGACCTCCCCCTTCCCCCTGCCCCCTCGTGGGCGCCGCAGGGGTACGGCTCGGGTGTTGCCAGAAGTGTACCTGGCCCAAGGTGTCCCCAGGATTTCTAAGGAGGCCTCCACGGCCTCCAGACGAGGTCGAGGGGGCTTCCAAAGTGGCGCGGAAAGCTAGGGACACCTCGGGCCAGGACCGCTTCTGGCAACACCAGAACAGCTAAGGAAGGACCCCCCTCGAGGGCCCCCAAGAGAGCCCCTACCTCCCTTGTGCGCGCTGCCGACAATTGGCGCTACTGGCAGCCTGGGCGAGAGCTGGACGCAGGCGGGGCCGCGCGCCTGTCGGGCGCCTCGCCCTGGTGTGCGCATGCCCTCCGCGTGCAGACCGTGGTGTGGCCCTCGCAGCTGCCACACGCGAGGGAAACCCTGCAGGGGGGACATGGCGTTGCTGGAGGGCCCAGTCTGCCTGCTGCCAGAAGACCGATGCCTGTGGCCTTGGCCACATGCCGCACTCACGTTCTAGCCACCATCGCCTATCGACACATTGGGCGTCGCTGCGTGCAAAGGCACATTCGGGGTGGATGCGTCTAGACACCGAGCGGGCTGCGTTCGACGCAGTACAAGGTCGGAGGCAGGGTAGATCCGTCTACGATGCGTCCCTGTACTAGAGCAGGTCCCGCATAGTACTCCAGACACCAAGCGCTTGCTACTGGATTCGGACATGTAGGGCGGAATCGGCCGTCGGTCGTTGGTGAGCTCCTGGAGCGCCCCGTCAGTTCGACCTAGAGCTGCAGACCTGCACGCGACCCGTCCAAGACCTGGTTCGATATCGAGTCTGGCCAGTCCGATCCGATTCGATTCCGATAATCCGACGATCCAATGCGGCTCAGTGCTTGCGTGGCACTGCTGTGCAACCTAGCACGGCCGATCCGAGCCGATTCAGACTCTAGGCCGATGCGACCAGGTCCGACGCACATTCTGAGTCGGGTGCGGATGAGGATGGTAGCGATGTTGATAATGATGTTGATGATGTGGTGGTAGAGATGAGTGACTCTGGTGGTGGTGATGATGGAGAGGACAAGGATGATGAGGAGGAGGACGAGCATGAGGAGCAGGATGAGGGGGAGGAGGATGATGATGAGGAGGAGGAGGAGGAGGAGGAGGGGGTGGAGGAAGATGGAAGGGAGGATCCCAAGAAGGTGGAGGAGAAGGAGGAGGAGCAACAGGAGTGCGACGGGCGTGGACGACGGAGGGGCCGCAGCAGGGAGCGGGAATAAGCACGGAGGAGAAGGAGGACGGGTGCGGGATGAGCAGCCGGAGCAGGAGTGGGCCGTGCAGGGGAGGAAGGTAGGCACCAGCAGGAGGGGCACAATGGGAACCGGATAAATGCATGAGGCGGGGATGATGATACAGAGTGGGAGGTCGGCGAGTTGGCGACGACAGTGGAGAGGGCGAGGAGAGGAGGAGGAGGAGCATGAGGGCCAGAATGAGGTTGAAAAGGAGGATGAGCAGGTGGATGGGGAGCATGAGGAAATGGGTGCAAACAGGACAGGGGGTGCGGTGCAGGAGTGGGGTCAGGTGGAGGAGGATCAGGAGACGCAGCAGCAGTCGGAGGTCAGTGGAGAAGGACAAGGGGATGAAGGACTGGATGACAATGACAAGGTGGACGTGGAGGCGGAGGAGGACGATGACGAGCACCAGGAAAAGGCAGAGCATGAGCACGTACAAGAAGTCTGCGGGTCCAGCAGGAGGAGCACGAACTGACGACGGCAAGGGAGCAGGAGGAGGAGGAGGAGGAGGAGGAGGGAGAGGAGGAGGAGGAGGGGGAGGAGGGAGAGGAGGAGGAGGAGGAGAAGGAGGAGCAGGATCAGCCCTGTGGAGGACCCCAAAAATCCGAGGCCGTGAACAGGTCAGAGCGCCTCGAAAAGACACGACGGAAGCTCTCGGCCCCATCTTCATGCGGGCAGCTTTCTCGAGTCAGGTGTATACGTGAGGGCTTTGGGGTCCGAAACAGGGCGACGTGACCAGTCGTGTTTTTGTTTGCCACTACGCTTGGACCTCAATCTTCGCAAGCAGGATTTACATGCACAGTGGTGTATCATTGCCGCAAGTCTCGAGGCGTGGCAGGTAAAAAGGAAGCGGTGCCCCGATCTGAGACCAAGGGCTACATTGTCAGCAGCAGAAGGGTGGTGAAGGGGTGCCCCATCAATGATTACCCGACCCGAACCGATCCGACCAACACAAGCCAGACCCGTGTGTACGGACCCTCTCGCGGACTCTGGTTCTGTTTTCACGCTTCCAGCGAGTACAGTATACAGTCGGTACATGAAGTCAGAAGCGAGCTTGCCGGCAGGTATCCCGTCCCGTGGAGATTCGTTGCCCCCCAAATCGCGGCAGGGGCATTAGGAAGCTCCGCGATGTTTCGGACAAGGTATCTCCTAGTAAGTTGAACGGACACGTGTGCATTGGTGTTCAAGTATACGCAGCTACATTTACATACGTATATGTGCATAGAGAATGAGAGTAACTAGTAACTACGCGTGTGTGTGATTATACACATACATCTGTATGTTTCTGAATATGTGTCAGAATAGGCGCGTCTGGGTATGCATATTTGCGCTCAGCGGTGCAACGTGTCTTAATTCATACATGGGTGTGCAACTAAGTATCGTATGTGCCCACGGTATCCAGTCTCCGAGCCTACGAGATCGCCTGATGGTGCCAGCCCGGCCGGTATGACAATTACCAAGTTACGCTAATTTGCGCGCGCATTTGTGGTGCGGCAGTCCGCTCGGAGTTATGGTTTGCGACGATGTGTTTAATATATGTGTGCGTATGTGTGTGACCTGTAGATACCTGTACACATGTATCTGCATAGTTATACGAATCGCAGCATCGCGTTGCTGGCATACGTTACTATTTTTAATTTACTATATACATATATAAATGTATACCGCTGCAGATCTATCTACATATACATATATATATATATATGGATAAACGAATCCCACCTGCAGCCGCCACCTGCGCGCCCCCGCGGGCCTGCGCTGCTGCTCATCTGGGCGGCCGACGCGGCAGCGCAGCGTGCCGGGCTCTCGGCCGATCCTCTCGACTTGGCGGCGTCCGGTTGGGCCGGCGGGGGCGCCGGATCGGGAGAAGCGAGATAGGAACGGAAGGCATGTGAGAGAATGCCAGCAGCGAGGTCCTGCTCGTTTTGAGCAGGACCCGGTGTCGCTGTCGCCGCGGAGCACTGCCCGCTTGAGACACAAACTCGCCTGCTCAACAGTGGCCTCTGCCACTTTTGGACAACATGAGCTCTTGGGCATCGCACCCGGGTTTTCTCTGTATTCATTTCTTACTCGTACCCATCTTTTGTCCGTGGTTCCTGCTGCTCCGTCTTCACCGATCGACTCAGCGGCGCGCAACCCAGAACTCCCCGCCCCCCGCTTGGTAGAAGAATCAGTGGCAGGTGGCTGACCGTTTCTGGCCTCCTGGGGGGCCTCTGCCAGGCATCGGGGGAGTGACAGACGCCTCGGGATGAAGAGCCAGTCCTGTGAAAGGGGTTCCAGACCTCAGGGTGTCCATGTTGTGAAACTTCACGGGGCCAGATCCAGAAAGGAGGAGGAGGAAGGGGCGGGAGATCGAATTTGCCTCTAGATCGCAGGCTGCGTGCTTTGCACGCATCCCCTGGAAGAGCGGCGCCGCCCGGCGCACTTGGTTAGCTATCCGCGCAAGGGCACGAGCGGAGGTGCAGGGAGAATGAAGTCACAACCTGGCGACACGTGCAAATTCGCGCCAGAGGTTCTAAGCCAAAGGCCCTGCGGCCCTCTCGACTCCGTCCCCGAGGCCCGTTTCTCATCCAGGATCGTTCTATGGAAGATCCCAGACCTGGTAAGCGGGCGTCTGCAGGCGGAACATCTGCATAAAGCCAGTCGAACTCCCCACTCGCGTTTCCGTTTTCATAATCATATAGGTAATCGAGGCATTCAGAGACACAGAGAGAGAAAGAGAGAGCGCCGGGGGAGTGAGACAGCATACATTGCGTTTCGACGCGCGCGACCTGGCAGACCAGGCGGCCTGGCCTGGGCGACAATGGCGAAGCATGCGGCAATTGATCGACGCAATGAACGGTGTCGACTTTCGCCGAGATTGGCGCGTAAGCTGCCCGCGTAAGGTCTCGCGTAAGCGCTCTCGCTTTCAGCGTAATCGTGCCGCTCTGGCGGCCCGCGTAAGCCAGGGCGTACGGTCGCTATGTAATGTCGCGTAAGACCCGGCTTTGGCTCATCGCCCAATTTTGTCGAGATGGAGAGAGGCAACAAGGTGACATCATGTGCATGCTTCGGCGCGACGCGACCGGCCGGGCGCGCGGCGAGACCCCCCCCGGCGGGCGGCGCCCACCTCAGGTCCGGCGTGCTGGATTTGCTGACGTGCAACCCCAGGCGGGGACGCGGAGGTGATGGGCCTGTTTTCCACCACCACCACCACCACCACCGTCATAAGTTGGAGGGGGGAAGGAGGTAGAGGACAAGGAGTAGGAGGGAGAAGCGGAGGAGTAGGAGGGGGAGGAGGAGGACGCCCTCCCCCTCCCACTTATGGTGGCGGCGGTGGAGAACAAGCCCACCAGGAGGGCATTGTAAACAAGAGGATTCCCCGAACAGTGATTGCTCTTACGGGTTCCTGCTTAGAATTGGTTGGGTCCGACGAGGTTTCGCCACGTTGCCGCCCGTGGCCGCCTCGTAAGCCGCCTCGTGCGCTCCGTGAGTCAAGCAAGGCTTCGCCACTTGGGTCCACGCTGGCTGACATAAACATCTGTTCTTTGCACACTCAGAAGCTATACTCGCTGCCCTGTCGCTCGCGGCGGGCGCTGTCCGAGACACTGGTTGGTTTACACCATGCCAGGGGCCACTTCGATGCGATCCGAATTGGTATCGGTTTCGGTTGGTCGCATGCGACTCGATTTTTACATTCTGATATTCAGGGGAGGAACTGTACTGATGTTGCTGCTCGTCCTGGAGAGCCCTCGGTACCACGGTGCGGGATCTGTATCCATCGGGCAGTCCAGGGGTGGGTCACACCCTACTCCTGAGAGGATCGAGGAGGAGGGAGGATCGAGGATCATCGATAAGCGTTTGGACGTTTCTGTGGGCGTCTTTGGAAGCCCTTGCGGGTTCTGGGGGGTGGATGGGGGTCCGTTTCGTTGGGGAGGTTTGCGACCACCCTGGTGGTGACCTCCTCTTTGGCGTTGCCTAGATCCCTTTGCCCCCCCCCCCCCCGGGAAGTGGACACCAGCCGAGTCAGTCACCCGCCGCGTTCCGCCGAGCTGGGGCTGCCGTGGTCGGCTCTTCTGGGCTGGTAGCGCGCCGATCTCGGAAGGTGTCGGGGGGCCCTCAGGAGGCGAGGGAGGGGACTGAGGACCCCGGCGGTCGCCGCCCCTCGCCTGCCCGAGCGCCGCCCGCGTCGCACGTGTCCTCGTGGCGTGGCCCAGGCATCCAGGCGTCGCGAGGAGTCAATGGAGGGGCCGCTTCTGCCCGGGGCCGCGCCGGGACATGCCCGCCTCGGGAGGTCCCGCGCCAAGGCGGGGTCGTGCCCCCAGAGGTGCTGACGGAGGGAGATGGCTCAGAAGATTGCAGAACACCTGCCAGGCAGCATTTGGCATTCTCGGCGAACAGTTACGCAGACCCGCCACGGAGAGCCGCGGCGGCGGCCGGACAAAATCGTGTGACAGGTGGGGTCGAGGGCTCTGGCCGTGGTGTGCTCGCGGCGTCCGACTTTTCGGCACGGTGCCAGGCGTCTGGGGAGGAGCAGCGGAGGGTGGTCGTCGCCCTGCCAGGGGGTCAGGCCTAAAGTGATCTTTGCTCGTCTCGGAGGGCGTAGACCAAGAGGGGAAAAACACACAGACACAATGAATCGTCGATTCCCCCCAAAATATGGGAAAATATGGGAAGTGGGGGGGAAGACACACACCCAGAAGATATGGGAAAATATGGGGAATCCTGTTATTCGTGTGTATTTATGTGTGTGTGTGTGTGTGTGTCCCATTGCCCCTTCAGTAGAGGGAGCGCACATGGACAGACTGATCGAGCCTTGCAATGTGCCCCTCCACGATCACGCAGATCAATCTTGCGGACACTGCGAGGGAGGGTGCCCGAATGGGCAAAGCCAATCAGACTCCGACGGCACTACCCGCACAGAGATCCACGCCGAAGTCGGGAGGTCTGGGGGGTCATCCGCATTCCATTAAGGTCTCGACACCGCCCACCCACTCGAGGATCACTTACTGCCAGAGGCAGATGATCATGGGCCTTGTGAGCTTTGTTGGTGAGCTTTGTTGGTAAGTGGCTCTGGCACGCTTGGGGAGCCATGGCTCCAGGTGCGGGGTCTTGTGGTCGCGATGTCCAGGCTCCCTTCGGTCCCCATTCGGGCGCCGTTCTAAGGTGTTCGCGAGCGATGCCCGTTTGTCCATGTTCAGGCCGCGCAGATTGTGCCGAAGGGGATTGGGACGGAGGATCAGACCGCATTGCCGACGCCTCGTCGATGAGGCGCGATCTGGAACCCGATGTTCTCCATGCCGACGTCGCTAGTGCATCGTTCGACAGCCAGACGCCCATCGACAACAAGTGGGCCAGCTCAAGCGCTGGGACGATGAAGTTCTCGCACGCCCAAGTCAACGCAGGCCAGACCTCCACCCAGCCCTGGCCCCTACACGCGACAAGGGACAGCAAAACGACCTCACGTGGATTCGTACGACCCAGAACACCAAGACGTGGTCAACTCTCGAGCACCACGACACCACCATGTGAACGAGCATCACGCCGACATCGACGTCAAGAACCTCTCCCCTCCCTCCCTCCTTCCTTCTCCCTCCCACACAGACGCGTACAAGCATGCCTACGAATTATTAATGCATCTCGCATTGCATGTTGTTCAGACACCAGATTCCTGAGGCTACGACCTCGCCCACCTGGCCTTAGCTAGGCCCCGACGGCGTCCGCAGCGGTGGTCGCATTCGTATCCGTAGTGCATCGTTCGGCGATGCAGTGCGATCCTCCGGCCTCATCTACTTCTAATCCATGTCGGTGGCTTGCACAGTTGACGCTTCCGTTTCTGATTCGTCGCCTTGCGTTCTCGTTGCCGCCGTCCTCTGCCGCGTCGTCTCGGCAGCTTCAACCCCTGAGTCTAAGCTCGAAGCAAAGTCACTCATTGCACGTGACAGCATAAGCAGGTTGGGAGGGTCATCAGGCTCAGGGTTTGGGGGCACGCGGCACAACATCCGATAATCTGTGGCACTGCTAGGCCAGATGAGTGGACCTCATGTATGGCATGTCTCCTGAGGTGGGAGATCGCCCGCTCGCCCGCGGGCTGGGAGACTGCCATCAGCGAGATCTTGCGCCGTCCTGCTCATCAGTCTTATGTTTGTCCTTTCCTGTGGCCGTAGATATCTTTCTGACTGGGAGGTCACCTCTTGCATTTAAGGGACATCCCCGTACCCCGTACCTTCAAGACCGCTCTCCCCTCAGCAGTGTCTCGCTGCACTCATCGTGATCGCACGTGTTTCCTGTATCCTGTCCTGTTTACGCAGTTGATCCAGGGAGGGAAAAACACCCCGACCCCCGAATTGGCGTTTACTAAACGGCCCCGGACATTTACTAAATAGCCCTGCCCTGCTCGATTCTTTTCCTGGTCGCGTTTACTGAAAGCCTTTCCTGTTTGTTGGGGTGCTTATCATGAGGATGTTTGTGCCTGCTCTCTAGTTGAGCCGGCCGTCTGCCACCTCTTGCGCCTCCTCCTCCTCCTGGCGGAATTAAGCTGGATTGCCTTGCCTTGCCCTGCCCAGTATTGCTGTGTGAACTGGTGACCAGGACGTGCGCAAGAGGCACGTGGCCGCTGCATCCCGGGGGATCCGCCCCTCCCTGGCATCACCTGACACCACTTGGCCCTTGCGCTCGTGGCTCCCTCTAGCGCTTCGAACATCGGCGGAGGCGAAGTCCATATGGACTCACTCCTTCTGGATTTAGCCTCTCCCGATCGGAGGACGGAGTGTTCCGTCTCCGCATGGATTGAGCTCACCTGCACTTGGCATCTCCTGACGCTCTGTCGTGTGGCCCGTGTGGACCGCAGCCCCGGCGGCGCTGACCCTATCATCGAGCACAAATGAACTCATAACCCTCAGAACACGATGAAGACGTGGCCTCACTTAGTCCCCCGTCTTCACATCAGGGGTGATAGGATTGGGCGATTGCTTTGATACCTTTGCAGGGGAGACCCCCTGTCAGTAATGTTTCTGGCCCTCCAAACTGGGGTCCCCTCCCAGAGGGTTAGGGGTACTTGTCTTGCTTGTCGCTCCAGGCACATGCTCAGCTCCGCGAAGCTGCGGATCCTGAACGCCGCTCTCCCAGCCGCGCGCGCGGTCGCCGGGCCGCCAGTGCGGGCGCCGATCTTCGCGGGAGGCCGCCTCGGGCTTGACTCGGCGTCGCGCCCTTTGGGGCGATGTTCGGTGTCGCAAGGAGGTGTTGCACGGTCTGGCCCTGAGCTGCCTCGATACGCCCGTTTTGCGACGCAACACGTGCCGTGCTCAAAGCGTCTGTGTCAATACGCTGCGTGTTGGCTCAACGTATTGGCCCACGGTTTTGGCGAACGCATTGCGCCAGAGCTACGTTGTCAGTCTACGTGTTGAGCTCCGTGACGGCACGCCACGGGTTGCGTGCTGCGTATCGGGGCGGCTAAGATTGAGATACATGTGTGCGTGTGTGCGTGCGGGTGTGTGCGTGTGTGAGTGTGTGTATGTGTGTGTGTTTGTTTGCGTGTGTGTGTGTGTGTGTGTGTTTGTTTGCGTGTGTGTGTGTCAGTATGTGTGTGTGTGTCAGTATGTGTGTGTGCGCGTGTGTGTGTGTGTGCGCGTGTGTGTGTGCGCGTGTGTGTGTGTGTGTGTGTATTTGCACCGCTCTGCACTTCGCAGGCGCCTCCGGGTTTCTGCAGGCTCCAGCCGTGGGGCACACGGGTCCCGAGGGGAACGGGTCCCGAGGCCTCCCGTCGCGTTCGGCCTCTCACGGCCCTCCCTGGGCCCCCGGGCCGTCCAGAATTGGAGGCCTGGAAATTGGCACCAACGCCAACGCACGGGCATGCCTCAACCCGGGGAAGATGATCCTAGAATTTGGTGTTGGTGGTGATATTTCGTCCACCTAGGAAGCCAAACGATTACCACTATTACCACCATCACCGAGATCGGGAGCACCTTCCCTCGGTGAAGGCACACAGTTGATATTAATATTGGTGTCAACCTTTAAACCTCACACAGAAACGACTCAGTATGAAAAATTGGTCCCAGGGAAAGGCCCGGGGTTTAGGACCAGTTTTCCTTCAGGACCCGTCCCGTGTCTTCCAATAGAACACCACTCGCTTGGGAGGGATGTCATCGTGTTCTTCGTGTTTGTGCTCTCCTCGGAGTAGTGACCCTCCTGGGTATCTCCACGTGGCCTTTGTGCTATCGGCGAAGGGGCTGAGGATCCTGACCCGCACTCTCTTGGCCATGTCTCGGCTGCAGGGCCCGAAGGGGTCCTTCACCGCAAGACAACTTTAGATAACTCCAGACTCGACTCCACCCCTGATCCTGGCAGAATGGGCAGAGGGTTTGCCCTTCGCCAAGCCCCCCCCCCTCCTCACTTCGTTGCTGGGCGGGGCTCCTCTCCCTCTTCTGTGCACTTCAGCTCTGACTTCGGCTACAGCTGTCATGCTTTCCAAAGCGCATCCAGGCCAGCGCACCCGAATCGTTTCTTCCCGCTCGCACCAGTGCCTTCGCGGATTCGCCGTGGATGCGATGTGAAATCGACATCGATTCGGCGCTCCAAGATGCTTCGACTCAGATTCGACGTGGGCATCGGAGCGATGGGACAGAGGAGGTCCGTCGAAGATGCGCAGCACGGATGCCGCAAAGCTCGAGCCGCATCGGCTCGAGAGAGCCCTTGGGGCTGGCCGCGCCGAGGTCGTGTACCCGAGGGTGTGGGACCCGCGCAGCTTCAGGGAGGGCGTGGCGGAGGCATCGTCGCGGCCAGCGCCTGGCCGCCCCCCGTTCGGGTGTTGCCGGAAGTGCCCCTGGGCCCGAAGGTGCCCCCAGGACTTCCGAGGAGGCCCCCACGGCCTCCGGAGCACCCCTCACGAGGCACCCCCACGGCCCCCACGGCCAGGGGCACCTCTCTGGCAATCCCCGAGGCCCGTCCGTCGGTGGCCTCGGTGCCTCCCAGAGAGGCCGCCGCCCGTGCTCCGGAGGGTCGGGTTTGCAGCCGGCTGGGGGGCTGAGGCCCAGCAACCGGCCAGCAGAGCAGGGGGAGAAGTCGGACGGGGCTGGGAGGAGGTTCGATCCGCTCCAGAGCCACCGGAACGCTCTCGGAGCGCTCCGGCACAATCTGAGCAGGCCGCGACGCCCGAGACGTCCTTCAGGGCCGCCGGGTCTCTCGTCCTGACTTCGTCTCAGGGGGTGGCCCCGCACTGGTGCCGGCCAGCAGAACTGGGGGGAGAAGGGCCCCCCTCGTCGCCAGGGACGAATGCGGCTCGAAGAGTTGGTCAGGTTCGAGCCTGGGGAGGGGGTCGGGGATCGGTCTTGAGCGGATTTGCGCCCGTCCCCCTCTTGACCGATTTTCTCGGGGCGCATCCATCGCGGACCCCCTGGCCGCCTCCATGTTCGGGTGCTGCCCTGGGGGGCCCCGTGAACGGTGTGGTGACCACGCCGTGTGGTGAGTCAGTGGGGATGCGCGGTGGCCGCACGGTTTTGGGACTTGGTTTTCGTTCTCCGAGGACGTCTTGGGCGATTGAACCTTGAAGGTCCCAAAATCGCTCGGTGAGATTTTATTTGGGATCTCGAGGAGAGTGTGCTCTTTTATCCTCTGGTGCGTAGCGGTTGGTACCCTGGCCAGCCCCTTTCCGGGTAACGGTAAGGGTCGTTCGTTGGGGTGGGTGGAGCTCGGACCCCCCCCACCCCCCCACACATGCTGGTGCTCGCGCGCGCATGCAGTGGCGATGCAGTCTGTCACCGCACCGCTCTTGGGACCACCGAGTTACCAGGCGCGGACCTCCTCGCATCGTGAAAAAGTAGCAGCAGGATCGGGGATTCCTGAAGGTGCCCCTTGCCCAAGGCGCCCCCAGCTCTCCGCTCCATTTTGGACCCCCTCGGGCCCCCCAGGGCCTCGTGAGGTGTGCTCTGGAGGCCGTGGGGGCCTCCTCGGAAATCCTGGGTGCACCTTGGGCAAGGGGCACTTCTGGCAGCACCAGACAGGAGGTGGTTGCCAGTCTTCGGCGTCTGGGGGCCCCCAGGGCCGTGGGCGAATGGCTCGGGACGCCCTGGGGCCAGGACCACCTCCGGCAGCCCCTCTCCTTCCTCCACCTCCTGCTCCTGCTGATTCCCATCGGCATCCTCTTCCTACCCAGACCCAGCACAACACATGCTCGACGTCTGTGTATAGACGTTTGTGTTCGGCAATACGTGGCAGTAGCGGGACACGGCGCGCACCGCGTGCGCGAGGGAGCGATAGGAGTGCCGACCCAGAGGTGGATGAGGAAGAGGAGGAGGAGGAGGAAGAGGAGGAGTAGGAGGAGGAGCAGGAGGAGGAGGAGTAGGAGCAGGAGGAGGAGGAGGGAAGCTGGAAGAGGATGGGCATGTGAGGAGAAGAAGAAGGGAGGGTACAGAAGGGGGAGGAGGAGTAGCAGCAGTAGGATCAATAAACAGGAGGAGAGCAACAAGCGGGATCAGCAGGAGGAGGAGGAGGAGGGAGGCGGGGAAGCCGAGGGCAAGCGGAGTGAAAAGGGAGGACCAGAAATAATACAGACCAGGAGGAGGAGATGGGAGGATGAGGACGGACTGGGAGGAGAGTCGAGCAGGAGGAGGAGACAGATAGGGATGCGACCTCCGCCAAACCGTGCGGGTCTGGGGCTCGGTCGCCCACACGGGCCAGCGGCTACAAGCACGTGAATGCGTTGCTGGACGAGGGCGACTTCCTCGGCCTTCGGTGACGGGGGGGGGTCATGGTGCAAATCCTCGGATGCAGAATTCGCCATGGCCATGGGTAATATCTACATGTTGATCCGCCCTGATCTGGCGGAGTTTAGCTTGGTGCAGCTTGACCTGGTTGAGAGAGAGAGAGAGAGAGTAGCTTTGGTTCAAAGGTCCAGCTCTACCCCTCCGCCACATCCCACTCATCACCCTCCTCCTCCTCCTAATCATCCCCAGACGCTCCAACCTCCTCCTCCTCCTCCTCAATCGCATGTTGTTGGCCCTCATCCTCCTCTATGCAATGTGTAGGTACCCGTGCCGCCCTTATGCATCTCGGGCCGGGCGAAAGGGGGGGATTGGGAAAGGGGGGGTTACGAAATTTGCTGCATGCAGCTGGTTTCGGCCTCACCGAGGGGCCCATTCCTCGATACATGGCCGCCTCCGGCGCTGGGAGGCGCCGGGAAAATCAGCTACGTGAGCTGATTCTCAAACCCCCCCTTTGCTATCCCCCCCTTTCGCCCGACCCGAGCATCCTCCCCATCACCACTCCTCACTTTGGTTTTACCCAACCTCCCAGTACAACCTCGTGAGCCCCCATGGAATATATCAGAACCTGCGAGCACACATCGCACCCGGCGCGCCCCAGAGCTTACGATACTCCCCCTGAGAGTCTCAGGGCCTTTAAGCGCAGCACAGACATCGAATCGTAGGAAGTTGAGGGGGAGGCGCGCATCCAAAATATGGAATTGCATGGTGGATCCTAGGATTTTTGCTCACTGTTTTGTGTGTACCTGGTCCCCCTAAAACCCCTCATCCCCGCGCCCCTCTAACAAACATGTCGTGCGTGTGTGCATGCGTGCCTTGTGCCAAGGCCGATTCCCTGGGCCGATCGGACGTTGCACTGCGCAGTATTCCTCCTCTCCCCCCCCTGCTCTGCAGCCTCGCCCTCCCCCTTGCCCCTTCCCCCCTCCCCGCCCCTCGCCCTCCTCCCCTCAACATTCCCCTCGTCATCCTCCTCCTCAACATCCCCCGCCCCTCCTCCACTTCCCCTCGACCTGCCTCTTCGGAGACAGGCCACCGCCCTAGGTCTAGTCCTCCACCTCCCCTCGTCCCCCTCCCCTACTCTTCGTCCTCCTCCCCTCTCCCCTCGTCCCCCCTCCTTTCTGTACCTATGCGCTCTGTCTCGCGCCGATCACCCGCCCATGTCCAGAGAGCTCGCCGCGGCCCCCAGCCACCCCTCCTGCAACCCTTGGCGTCGCAACAGACACATGGCGGGCACGTGCGCCTCGCCCCGCGCCGCGGGACCCTCGCGGACGGGCCCCGCTCGACGGGCCCCGCGGCAGGGCGTGGCAGGTGGTCCTGGCCATCGCTTTTCGCTGCGTGGTGCGTGTCCACAGCGTCGGGGAGTCCCCCTCGTCCTCGTGCCAATCGCGTCATTTTCTTTTGGGGTGCGCGCGATCACAAGGCGCGGGTCCGTTGAGCGTCGAGCACCTGCGCGCAACGTGTACGAAGCGGAGCAGACCAACAGGCGGAAGAGAACACAGTATACGCGCCCTGGGGAGAAATAGTTCGTCCTCCCCGTCCAGTTCCACATCCCTCCTTTTCCCAGGGGGCTGGTGTGCGACAAGCTTCTCGACGACCTGAGGGCGTCCCACGCTGGATTGGCGGACGGCCTAGGTGACTGGCTTCGTCTTTCCAATGCCTCTCGTATGCTGTCACACTCGCCGTTCCAGTCTGTCCAGTCAGTTATATCCCCACATCTTTGCAACGGCAGCAGCGCGAATTTTAGCAATACCATGCTCACATGTTGCAAGGTAGTATGAGGGTTTCCCGCTGCAGCGTCTCAGCGGATCTCCATGGGCCACCCTCAGAGGCCGCTTACAGTGGCAACGAGGGGCAATGCCAGTAGTTAGTAGTAGAGATGCTCACCAGGGCCTTGATGAATGTGAATGCGACGGTGGTGTTGGTAACGATGGCGACGACGATGATGACGATGATGATGATGATGATGATGATGATGATGATGATGATGATGCTGATTATGATGATGACGCTGATGATGATGATGATGATGATGATGATGACTATGACTATGATGATGATGATGATGAGGATGATGATGATGATGATGGTGATGGTGATGGTGATGGTGATAGCGATGATGACGACGATGATGCTGCTGATGATGATGATGATGGTGATGGTAATGGTGATGTCGATCGTGATGTTGACGGTGATGACGATGACGACGATGATGATGAGGAGGAGGAAGATGAGGATTATGACGGAGCGAGCCTGCACGCTCGGAGTAAGCGTTCGGCCAGTAACGATGGTGCTGCGATGTGCTCCGAGACTCTTCAGTGAGCTTCGTGGTCAAGTTGCTGGCAGCCCCAAAGCTAGCCGGCACGTTCGAGGTGAACTTCCCGCCGACTTCGGTTCCAACCTCCCACTTGTTGCCAGACGCGATCTGGCGAGCTCAGAGCGAGCGTCTCAGCACATGAACTATAGCGCCGACAGCGCGAAGTCACCCCAAACCGAGCTGGCACGCTCGGAGCGAGCTTCCTGCCGACAGCGTTTGCCACGCGATGCGCGCCGGGGGGCAGCCGGCACGCCTGTAGTGATCTTAGTGGCCAGAGCCTGCAGTTCGGAGTGCACCTGAAGCGAGAGCTGGCACGCTCGCCATGCATACGGCAGGGGCGCGGGAGGGGTATCGGATGTGTCAGTTCTGATTGAGAAGGCCTTGCGGCTGGTGACACCACTGAAGGGGGACGACGACAACAGCGGCGGCGGCGGTGGCGGCCACGACGACGACGCTGACGTGGGCCAGAGGGATGCTTCTTGGGGTCTTCTCGGAAGGCTCTCGGGGACCTCTGTGGAGGAATTCGGGTGCCTCTTGTGAGCATCTTGGGAGCCTCTTGGGGCCTCTTCGGGCTTCCTGGGGACCTCTTGTGGGCCTCTTAGGGCCTCTTTGGAACCTCTTGGGCCCTCCCTGGAAACCCTCGGGGCCAAGGGCTCGAAATGTCCGTTCGGGTCCCCCGTATGGGCACGCTCGTGGGGCCCTTCTCGGGAGTGCTCTTGGAGGCTTCTTGGGACGTCTTGGCGGCTACCTGGGCAGTTTGGAGGACGTGAAGGCGTTTTGGACCGACAGTCTGGAGATTTGGAGCCCTCTTGGACCGTCTCGGGGTGCTCTTGGGACATTTTTGGCCTGTACTGGCACGTTCGGAGGCCCCAGGACCCACAGGGGGGGATGCGTATCTGACCCCCCCCCCACCCGGGAACGGTAGTGTGGCCATTCCCGGCCAAGTCGACCAAATCCAGGCCAACTCGACCAAATCGCGCTGGCAGTCGCCCAGACTTATACATGAATCGTTTTTTTCCCGCCTTACCTCACCGTTTTGTCTGAAGACAACCCTGGGTACCAGTGGCGAACCACTAAGGCATCAGTGGGTTGTCGATTTCGACGAGGCCAGGATTGGATTATGCTCGTTGCGCTGCCAAGAGAATCGCTTTGGAAATGTTATCACTAGCGCTGCAACGCCTACAACAGCTACTACTAAACGTAAGACTACTAGTACCACAACTGCTACCACTACTTCTACTATTACGACTACGGCGACTGTGATTACGACTGCTGCTACTACTACTACTACTACCACTACTACCACTACTACTACTACTACTACTACTACTACTACTACTACGGCGACTTCTTCTACGATCACTACTACTACTACTACTACTACTACTACTACTACTACTACTACTACCACAACTAATATTACTACTACTACTACCACTACTACTACTACTACTACTACTACTACTACTACTACTACTACGAATACTACTACTACTACTACTACTACTACTACGACTACTTCGGCTACTATGACTATTATTACGAGTGCTACTACGATTAGTATTACTACTGCGACTACTACTACTACGACTACTACGACTACTACTACCACTACTTTATTATTACTACTACTACTACGACGACGACGACGACTGCTACTACGACGACGACTGCTACTACTACTACCACCACTACTACTACTACTCCTGCAACATCAACTACTACTACTACTACTGCCACTACAACAACTACTACGACTACTACCATTTATTGCACCACTCCTGTCACGAATCATACATCTACTGCTACTACTACCACTACTACTACTATTACTACTGCTACTACTACTACTTCTGCTACTTCTATTATTACTACTACTACTACTACTACTACGACTACTACTATTACTATTTCTACTACTACTCCCACTACTACTACTTCTACTACTGCTACTACTACTACTACTACTACTACGGCTACTACGGCTACTATGACTATTACTACGAGTGCTACTGCGACTATTCTTACTACTGCGACGACTACTACTACTACTACTACTACTACGACTACTACGACTACTACTACCACTACTTCACTATTACTACTACTCCTACTACTACTGCTACTACTACTACTACTACTACGACGACTACTACTACTACTACTACTACTACTACTACTACGACGACGACGACGACGACGACGACGACGACGACGACGACGACTACTACTAATACGACGGCGACTGCTACTACTACCACTCGTACTCCTACTATCACTACTACTACTACTACTACCACAACCACTTCTACTACTACTACTACCACTACTACTACAACTACGACTACTACTACTACTACTACTACTACCACTACAACGGCTACTACGACTACTACTATCCATTGCACCACTCCTGCCACGAATCATACATCTACTGCTGCTACTACTACTACTACTACTTCTGCTACTTTTATTACTACTACTACTACTACTACTACTACTACTACGAATACTACATATTAGACTACGACTACTGCTAGCAGAACTACTAGTAGTAGTAAGGCTGCTGCTGCTACTACTGCTACTACTACTACTACTTCTACTACTACTACTACTACTACTACTACTACTAGTATGGGAACTACGCAAGCTACTACAACAACTACGACGACTAGTACTACTACTACCTTCTACTACGATTGCCCTCTACTACCTACTACCACGACGACGACGGCGACGACTACTACTACTACTGCTACTACTACTACTATGACGACGACTACTACTTCTACCTCCACGACTCTTGCTACTACTACTACTACTACTATCACAACGACTACTACGACCACTACTGTTACGACGACGACAGCTACAACAACTACTACTACTACTACTACTACTACTATTACTACGATCACAACGACTACTACGACTACTACTACGACTACTACTAGTACGGCTACTATATTTTACTAAATACTACGACTGCGACTGCGTCTACGACTACGCCTAGTACTACTGCTACTACTCCTACTACTACAAGTACGACGGCTACTATCTCTACGATTGATATTGCTACTACTACTGCTACTACTACTACTACTACCACTACTACTACTACTACTACTACTACTACTACTACTACTACTACTATTACTACTACTGCTACTACTACTACTACTACTACTAGACTACTACTACTACTAGTACTACAACTACTGCTACGACTTTTACTATTACGACTACGACCACCACCACTAACTACTACTACTACTACTACTACTACTACTACGACTACTACTACTACTACTACTACTACTACTACTACTACTACTACTACTATTACTACTACGACGACGACGACTACGACTACAACAGTCAGTGGACGATTGGTGCTTGTGAAATTCCGGTGGGAGTTTTTGGTGGGAGGGAGGAGGGCGCGTTAGTAGCGCTACGGGGGCAACGCAGCACGATTAGTATTGGTAGTAGTTTTTCGCTTACTGCAGCAGCAGCCGCAGCAGCAGTAGTAGTAGTAGTAGTAATCGCCGTCGTCATCGTCATCGTCGCCCGATTTACTGCGTCAGTGGTAGTAGTTGTAGTCGTATGTGTAGTAATGGTTTTGGTGGTTGTGGTGGTAGTAGCCGTATTTGTTGAAGTCGTACTTCTAGTAATCGCAGTGGTGGTTGCAGTAGTAGTATTAGTTGTTGTTGTAGCAGTAGTAGTAGTAGTAGTAGTAGTAGTAGAAGTAGTAGTACTAGTAGTAGTAGTAGTAGTAGTAGTAGTAGCAGTAGTAGTAGTAGTAGTAGTAGTAGTAGTTCTAGTAGTAGTAGTTCTAGTAGTAGTAGTAGTAGTAGTAGTAGTAGTAGTAGTAGTAGTCGTCGTCGTCGTCGTCGTAGTAGTAGTAGTAGTAGCAGTAGTAGTAGAAGTAATAGTAGTAGTGGTAGAAGTAGCAGTAGTCGTAGTAGTAGTTGTAGTAGCAGGAGTCGTCGTCGGAAGTGTTGTAGAAGCGGTCGGGCGGAGTGGTGATAGCAGTAATTCCACTAGCACTAGTGGTAGTAGTAGCAAGCATCTGAGTAGACATGCAGCTCCTCGTAATAGCAGTAGTCGCTGTAGTAGTGGTAGTAGTTGTAGTAGGAGTAGTAGGAATAGTAGAAGTACAAGCGCTAGTCGTCGATGGTGTTGTAGGAAAAACAGCCACAGTAGTTGACAACAACTGGGACAAGATAAGTCGCCCAACCCTCGCGCGTTTCGAGGCCCTGTAGAGAGCTCCACCGAAGGCCCAAGTGGCACAGTTTGCACGCGTCCCCCCGGCTCATTTCGCCACACCCATAGCGGCAGCGGCGCGGCGGCGGCGGCGGCCGCTGCGTCGTCGACGTGGTCGTCGTCGTCGTCGTCGTCGTCGTCGTCGTCATCGTCGTCGTCGGGGACGTGGTCGTAGTCGTCGTCGGGGCGGCTGACGGCGACGACGACGATGACGACGACGACGAACACCACAGAGGGCAACGCGAAAAAATCACCCGACAACTTCCCCAGGGATTGGTTTTCGTGCTCTCTCGGTTTTTGACGGTCCCGGGGCCATACGGCAGGGATGACGTCCAGAAGTTCATCCAGGCTCTGAAGAGCTGGGCAGAGTTCTCTTCAGCGCTATCAGACACACAGAACATCAGTACACAGGACACAGAGCGCAAGGGCGCTCTTAAAGCCTCAGCAGAGCGCCCCGAAGACATTTCAAGAGCGATCCTAAGATCTCTGGGGCAAACATTCTTGCGACCTCGTAAGGGCGCTCTTGAGGCCTAGTATGAGCGCTCCTGAGGCTTCGCATGAGCGCTCCTAAGACCTCTTACGCGCGCCCTTACGAGCGATCTTAAGAGCTCTGACGAGCTATTCAGAGCCTTGAGCTCGGCCGGCATGCCGGGATTGGACCCAGTTGGCAAGTTTTTGTGGAAAAAAAATGTGGGCCGGGATTCGTTATTTTCTCCCCCACCGGAACGCCTCACCGGACCGCCACCCCGAACCCCCCAAAGCCCCCCCCCCGACGGGGCAGGGATCAAAAGGAAGGGACTTCCTTGCGCTCGATTAAGACACTGCTAGATTTTTCTTTCGCTGACAGGCTTGAGGAGGAGGGCGCAGGGAAAGGGGACGACGCAGACGACAACTGACACAGACGACGACTCTAACCGACAAGCCCCTCACACACGTCGACAGGGTCGATGTTGTTGGGATGGGTGACAAAAACTGACGCAGGCCTAGTTGGGAAATTCTCGTTTCAACACCCTCCTTTCTCCCCTTTCTCTTCTTTTGCCCTCCTCCTTCCTCCATGCCCCTTTTCTCGTTCCCTTCATTTGCTCGTCCTTCCTCTCTCTTGGACGTCCCTCCTTTCTCTTGGACGTCGAGATAGGAGCAGGAGGCGGAGTTTGAGGAGGAGGAGGAGGAGGAGGAGGAGGAGGAAGGGAGTCCCCTCGGAGGGAGGGAGAGGGGAGGATGAGGAGGAGGCGTCCGCGGCTGTCGTCTCTCTGGTCACTCCCCTGCTGTGGTAGAATTACCCGTCTCTTGAGACTACGAGTTGCTGGAGGTGCACCAGTTGGGTATCTTCAGGCCGGCACCGCCCACCGAGGTGGAGGACGACGGGGGAACGATATGTAGAGATAGGATCTGGATGAGGAGGAGAGGCAGAGGAGGTGCAACATGGGGAACGGAGGGAGTGTGAGGAGGAGGAGGGGTAGGCGATGGAGGAGGAGGAGGAGGAGGAGACAAAGGAGGAGGGGTGAACTATGACACAACAGGTAAGGCGAAAACATATAAGAAATGGAGGACGGGGACCAGAATGATAAGGAGGTGTTGGGGAGAGAGCGGCGTCCGACCGACATTCCGACACTATCGCGTTGAGCGTCTCAGCGTCTTTGTTTGTGGGATGGTGGCGTAATGATGCTGATTCTGACGGTGATGAAGAAGAGGATGAGAGTGGAACGCAGGACTGCGGGGGGGACTGAATTGTACGAAAGGTCGCGTCACTTGGTTGGGCGAAGGACGCCTTCGAGATGTTGCCGCTCCCTTATTGTATGATGCAAGCTGGCTGTTGCTCCTTTCGTATGTCCTACATACGTACGTGCATTGCCATGGAGTTGGACGGCCGGGTCTTCCCCCGCACATGCTGGAGCCTTCAAGAGAGGGCTTTTGCTCCTGGAGGGGAGCGCTGCCTTGAAGGGTGGAAGGGTGGAAGGGGGAGGGAAGGGGTATGATGGAAATTGTAGATAGGAAGGGGCGGAACGCAACTTTGACGAAATCGTCGGAACAGACTTGGTACCTACAGGTCTGCGGCCAAGGCGGATGAGTTTGGCAACGAGGCCGTGTACGTGACGCCGCTGCTGCGGGTCCGCGAAAAGTTCACGCTGGTGAAGGACGGACCTCGTTGTACCAACCGCCTCGTGCTTCTGCGCGCCAGAGCAGCAAGATGTGGGGCGATCCAGAATGGCCTCGCCTTCGAAGGATCGAGGAGCTGACGCCCTCCCCTTGCGCAAGGCGGCGGGAGGGCGGCAGACGTTGGCGGAAGCAGGACGAGAGAGCCTTCGCCGGCGGAGGGCAGGCGGAAATAAAGTGCTAATATCGAAGAGGTGTCCGGTTTGGGGATTCTGGGTGTTTCTGGACTCGCTCATGTGGCAAGCCAGGTGACGTATCCATAGGTGCGTGTCAAGCAGAGTGGCCGCAACGAGCAAGCGTGCTCCACGTGCAAAGGTTGCCCCGGCGGCCAATCGAGTGGATTATCTCGGCAGTGTGGCATGCTCTGAATTCGATGTTCGCCGAGTCGGCCAGAGAGCATTAGAAGCAGTATGTAGCACCACCCGTAGAGCGCGCCCCACGGATGCGCGGCACCATGGTTATCTGGGCTGTAGATGCAGCTACGGTCAATCTTCATGCCCCCCTCAGTGGCGAGGATACTACGTATTGGTGGGAAGTGCAACGTTTGCACAAGTGGACGTTCAAACGCATTCTCCCAGGAGATGATGGTGCAGAGGAGCATTCTTGTTTTGATTTCGTCTGGAATCGTCGCGCCCATTGATCATCGTGTACAGCCCTTCGCATTGCACGCCTAGGCGCGGACTTGTTCATGTGATGTGACGTCACTTAGCCCTGGCTCATGCCTCGTCTCTTGGTGGTTGTGGTTCCAGGCGCAGCCGATTGCTAGCAGTGGGTACGATAGCATGCAGCATGTTATCAGAGCATGCCCCAGATTGTAATTTCTACGTCGAGTTTCCATCGGTTTGCACGCGCCTGTCCTTGGAAACATACACATCTATCCGGGGTCCAGGGCCGGGGGCCTGAAAAGGCGGATCCCAGATCCCTGTGCCGGCGGTGGGGACCTGGGGCCTCTGGCGGACTGCAACGAAAAACGCTCAGACACGGCCTCAGAGAGCCCGAAGAACCTCCAGGACAGTCCAGGAAGCCCCCGAGACGGCCCAAGCCTGCTCGAATACCGCCCAAGATGTTCACAAGACGGCCGTTTGTGTTCCCAAGAGCGACCAATAAGTTTTCAAATCGCCCCGGGGGAGGAGCCCGAGGAACTAAAATCTTTCAAACACTCAGATTCGAAGCTTTGAGATTGGCCGTAGGACACCTTCAAGAGGCTCTCAAGACGCCTTGAAGAAACCCCAAGAAGACGCAACAGGAGCTCAAGAGGCCTCAAGCGGCCCCCAAGAGGCCCCCAAGCCGCTCCAAATACGTCATCAGCCACCAAGAGGCCCCCAAGAGTCTCAAGAGGCGCTCACGAGCCCCACGAGCCCCCACGAGGCCGCAAGAGGCGTCCAAGACGCCCCCAAGAGGCCCCCAAGATGGCCACAGAGGCTCCCAAGACGCCTCCAAGAGACCCCCAACACCAACCCTTATCCTTTCGCGTTGTCCCACCAACACGTCTAGAATGCCCAGGGGAGTTGGATGAAGGAGGGGCGCATATAAGGATGTGACGAAGCAGCGACGCGTACGCCATTGCAGTTCGAGACCTCGGGGAACCTCTTTGCGCTCTGTTCGTGCAATCGGATGCCTCTTGTGCTCTCTGTGGGGCCTTTTTAGTATCCTCCCGACGTCTTTTAGGACCATCGTGAAGCTCACTTGGATCCCTCTTGGAGCCATCTTGGACGCCGTGGGGGCCCTGTTGGGGCCATCTTGGAGGCCATCGCGCGCGACGCCGGTTACAGTCCCCCGCCGAAGCCTCAAAGATCGTTTCTTGGTGCCCTCATGCGGCGCACTTGGTGTCCTCTTGCCGTCTTCGGGCGTGCATGGGCGCATATTGTTACCCTGTCGGGCTATATGCTGTATTGGAGCTACCTTTGGGCATCAAGCGAACTGCGGAAACTAAACCGTGAGAAGGCAAACAGTTCTGAATTGCGAGAGTGCTGGTCACTCGGGGACCTCCTCGAGAGGCTCGTTGGCCACGGGCAGCCGCCTTGGAGCGGCCTTGCGGCCTCCAGGGTGGCATGTTGGAAGCTGCACGGACTCGTCTTGAAGCCGTCTTCGGCTGCTGGGATCCCTCTTGGAGCCCGCATAAAAGGCTTCTCGGACGCTCTAGCGCGTCGAGGGAGGCTCCAGGCCCAGGGGCAGGGAAGAGAGGCGCACCGCTCTCCCCAAAGCGGAGGAGAGGGGTGAGACCAACTACCTCGCTCAACCACTCACGCCCCCGAAGGCTGGCCAGATCTGCAAACGAGTTAAACATTAGAGCAACACAACAATACAAGTAAGCCAGCAAAGCGCGGCACTGCAAACTGAAGACGGGGTCAGTGGAGGGGGGCGAGGATGGCCAGGTGGAGTGAGCGAGGGCATGACGGATTCGCCGTGGAGAACATAGGAGGACGAGGGGAAGCAGTGGGAGCGTTCAGGGCGACGGCACATCTGACGCGCATTTCTGAGCATAGCAATTGGAAGGTACGAGCGCACTGTCGACACGAGCCCGCGAGGGCTCCTAGAGATCTGACCAATTCTGTTTCAACCGTTGCGCTTTCTTCCAAGGCGCAGGGCTACCTAGAAACAAAGCGCGCGCACGAAACGCGCGCGAATGTTTCTAACACACACACACATATACATATATATATATATGTGTATATATATACACATACAGATCTGCATACGGATCCAAATATGTACAGGCGTATGAACAGCGTGAGGGAGATATTCGAGTGTTAGCTTCATTTTTTGTTTGTATACGGCGTTAGATGATCTCAGTGATGTTGTGTGCTTGCGCTCATTTAAAGGCTGCTTTGTTGATTGTGGCCAGGCTTCCGATTGGGAGATCGTGGAAATGGACAAGCGACGATGGCGTCCTCCTGACCTGGAAGAGAAGAAGCCTCCAGAGCAGGAGTGAGACACTTCCTGAGCTGTTTGTTCAGCGAGAGAACAACGACCCCTCGCTGTGGTAGTCTGCCGTTTTCACTGTGTCTAGCTTTCCAGTGTAATGATGCGGCGTGTCGCAGCCTCGCCAGATCAAAATTGAAGTGACCTTGGGGGAGCCAAGGGGAAGCAGATGAATTTGTTGCGGTTCGTTTCATCACAGTTCCCCTCAAGCGTGCACCATTGGAGAGATGGAAATCGTGCAAGAGCGTGTTTTGGGCACGGTCTCCCACCATCCGCTTCGCCAGAATTGGATGTGAGGATCGTGTGCTCTACAAAGCCAGGTCATCATGGGAGGCATCGAAAACAAGTACGATTTCCCCACCGACAGTGTAGCATTCGGGGGTGGGGGCGAACTCATGCGCGTGTGGGTGTGCGCGTGTGTCCTCTCATGCGGCTGTGGCGAGTCCTTCCCATGGTCCTGCGTGCTCTCTCCCTGCTTTCCGCGCCCTGCTGATTGATGCCTTAAGGTTACATCCTAAGCGATGTTGAGGGACTCGTCGCCGCGCGCGTTTCGCTGCCTGCTACGCTGTTTTCCGCCTCGTCCGTTCGCTAAAAATCGTGATCCTCCAATGTGTGTGTGCGTGTGTGATTGTGTGATGCGCGAGAAGGGAGATGCAAAGCGTGCGATGCCCCGCCCAGTCTCACCTACGCGTGCAGATGGCTGATCGAATCGCTGTGACGTTGTCAGAACGCTTTACAGAGAATTGGGGAAAACGTGCCCATGAGTTTCAACGTCACCGCAGGTGTTAAGCTGCATGCGCCCCACCTTTTATTTTCTGGTCTCACTCGGTGGGGCTACAGAGGGAGACTGCTCTCGACAAACAGAGATCCGCGTCGGCCTGCATCGTGCCAGAATCCGAGCAGCCAGTCGTGTCCACGACATCGAGGAGGAGGAACAAGAAAAGTGGGCCCAGGAGCCCTAGGAGGAGGAGGAGAAGGGGGACAACAAGGAGGATGAGGAGGCCCCCCCCCCCCCAGCCTAAAAACTGTTAGCTGAATTAACAAAAGCCACCCGATGGGGCTGTCTGGCTGTTCTCGGAACCCTGCCCAAAGGATCCCCGCCTCCGAAGCGCTCTTCGCGCGTGTCAGGTCGGGCCCAAAGGCGAGCACGGCAGTGCGAGCAGTGTGCCAGCCGCCGAGTGCGTCGAGGAGGGAGTGCTCGATGCTGATCGGGAGCAGTTGGGCAGCACGCCCGTGCAAGGCCCGAGTCGACCACAGGCCGCCGCGATCTTGAAGCCGCGGCGGGCCGCCACGAAGCTCCGCCAGGCAGCGTGCGCCGACGGCGGTGGGGCCAGGGCCGGGGCTCAAGCGCCACCGGCGCGAATCGGCGCACCGCCCAGGTCACCCCTCCACGGTTCCCAGAGGTGCAAAGCAGGGCGTTACAGGATCGGCGGACGAAGCGAGTGGCAGCAGTTCAACAGGCAGGGACGTGCCGCCCAGCCCACCGATCAGTAGCGGGGTGCTCGCCTTTCAGGACCCCTTCTCTCCTTTCCTTCCGATCCTTTTTCTTTCCTCCTCATCTGCTCCTCTTCCTCCCTCCTTCCCCCCCCTCCGCCAACGACCTCCATGGAGACTGGGGCACGGTACTTCTTTCGCTCGAGGGAAGCCCTCAAGACTTCCCGATTTGCTTTATCTTTGACAGGCTCAAGAGACCCAAAGAGCGCTGGCGGAGATGCAAGCCGAGCCTCACAGTCCTTGGGATGCTGCGGTCAGTCGCGTGAAAGGTACAGCCAGGTCGCTGAAATAAGGGAAGGACTACGTCGGGTTCAAGAAAGCCTCTTGTTTGTTGGCCGTTCCTTAGAGATCTGGGTCGGGGAGCCTATTCGTAGTCGAGGCGCGCCTTGGCCAAAAAACGTCTCTTTGTCCCCCATTCAGCGCTCCTGATGTCAGCACAATGACTGCACGACGCCTGCGGCTAGGTCCGGGGCCCGTGCTCGTGCTCTCCTCCCTCGCCCCTCCCAGAGCCGCCGACGCCAATCCTTCACCCACTATTAACCACTGCGCTTCTGTGGAGCGTTTCGCGAAGGGCTTCGCTTGCGGCGCAGCCCCGACTTGGGCCGAAGCTGGCGGAATGACATGGCGGCGGGCCTGCCGGCGGAAAATCGACGGCAGGCGGCGGAAGTGAAAGCGACACGTCAACGTGCTCGTTGGGCAGGGCCTCTCGGAATCCCACCCCCCCTTCTCCTGGAGGCTGGGAGGCTTCCTGGCAGTACCAGCCTTCCTGCCGCCTGGGGTGGCCACTTCATTTTTGTTGCCCGGACAGAACACCTGGGCGACGCAACCCGAAGGAAGGTGCCCAGGGAGCTTGCATGAATTCACGTGCAGTCGGACCTCGCAACATGCATGGCAGCACAGACGCCCCAGGCGTCTCACCTGCGCCGCCGTTGCGAGGTGCCTCGAGATGCCACCCCACGGCCACAAGCACCACCCCCACTTGGCCGCCGGCCTCAAACAGCAGAGACCCCACTGCCTGAAGACTTTAGTTCCCGCGCCCCCCCCGTCGGGGGACCCTTTCGAGCAACCCCATCGGGCATCTCGGGGGTGGTACGGCGGGCCCGCACCTACTGTGGTTGATCAGCCACAGGGCAAGAGTCTCTCCCACAGCCCCGCTCGGCTGTGGTGACGATCGGGCTGCCAAGCCACTTGTTTTCCTGGGACGCCACGAGGGCACCCAGCGGCACAGGTGCCGTTGGCTACTTCACCGCGGTCCCTCCTCCTCACCCTCGCCTCAGACGACGTCGCCCTGGTCGTCGCCGTCGTTGTCGTGGCCGCCGCCCTTGTCGCCGTCGGCGGCATCCTGTGGTCGCGGTCGCCGTTGGCGGCGGCGTCGGCGTCGGCGTCGGCGTGGCCGCGGTCGCGGTCGCCACCCCGTAGCCGTCGCCGTCGCCGTCGTCGTCGTCGTCGTTCTCGTCGCTCTGGGCGTCCCGAGAGCGGCCAGCAAGGCCTCACGCCGTGAGGCGGCGCGCCCGCGCCGGAGGCCAGCAGGCTCGACGAGGCCCTTGCGGCATACATGCGCGCGAACGGGGCAGACCCTCAGGAGGGCACCCTGCTGCGGAGGTGGGAAGGATACCGATGCGCTGGACACGTATGCAGGATTCGGCGGCGAGCGAGGGGGGAAGTGATAAGGGGCGGGCCTTCTCAGAAGGCTCGGAAGTTACCCGGCCTTCTGAGACGTTTCCTAAGCCATCCCCGAAGACACAGAACATTTCTCAGAAGGCCCAAGGGCTTCTGAGAAGTCCCGCCGCCTTCTGAGAAGGCCTGCTCCTTCTCCTGTCCCCCCCTCGCTCGCCGCCAGAATGCTCGATATCAGAAGTCTTCGGGCACGTGCTTCGTCGATCTGTTTGAGGGCCCCACGGTGCCTCAGAGCTTCTGTGGGTCCCTGGGGCCATCGGGGGATGCGACACTTTCGCGGGGCACCTGCTGGCAGGCAGATGTCTTGATTGATGTCTGTGTGTGTGTCTATCGTGCGGCTGCCCGTCACTCGTCGCCGCGGCTGGATTCGCCTGGAAGTCCTAGTCAGAACGCGCCCCGGGAGAGGTTTGGGGATTCGCGGTGTCGGGGGACTTTTGTTGCCCCACTGTCGGGGGAGGAAGAGGGGGGGTGATGGGAGAGATGAGGTGATTGGCGGGAGGAGGAGGGGGGGAGGAGGGGGTAATCAGGACCGACTCGGCAGCAGGGCACGTCCAGAACCTCATCGCCGTCGGGGGGCCCAAAGCGGGAGCCAGAACAGTGGAGACTTGCACTCTCATACTGCGCTCAAAGGTCAGTGGCGGAAGTACTCAGATGCAGCCCTGGCCAGCGGGATCGGTGCGTGAATCCTCTTCCTTTGCATTTCACCTGTCCAGTGCTGCAGACCTGAACAGACCAAAAGAAGTGAAACGCATGCTGTGCTCACCAGATCGTTAGTCTTGCATCCCTCAGGCCTCACCCCAGACCTTCTTACCCTCGTCCAGAACATGTTGGCCCTTTGAAGGGGGGTTGTATTGTGTGACACGGTGGGGTGAGTGTTCGGGGATGGAGTTGAATTGCGCCGAACTCGATACGTAATCAGGTTTGGGCATTGGCTGATCTGAGAGCCGACTCACTTTCCCAGATCCCACGTGTACGTGAGACACACCGTCACAAGCTGACCATCCAATCCCCATTGGGCAACGTCTGCCTCTGGATGCGACGGGATGGGGGAGGGGAAAATGCAGGAGGAGGATTTGCAGGCGCAAAGGGAGGCACTTACTCCGAAGAGAGGGTAAAACTGCAAGTGGAAAAAGGATGGGACGAAAAGAGAGGGACTTCTGGAATAATGGGATTGGCTTGGCCACGTGCAGAGGGGTGTAGGGGGAGGGGGGAAGACGTCTAAAAAAACATTGTTTTCACAAAGTGCGGGCCTTATCTATAGATGTAGGGCTGGCGCCTTCTAAGAAAAGCCTCCTTCTAAGAAGCCGTCCACCCACCCATACCCCCCAGATCGCGCCGACAAAGAGGGGATAAACCTGGTGAAACAGGATGAGAAGACACGGCATGAGGATCACGAGGGGGATACATGCGAGAGGGCGAAGGGCGTTCGGGTGAGGATCGACGAGGGAAATTACGGGGCGGAACGGTGGGAGTCGAGGAGGTGCATGTGAGGCAAGGAGTCGAACAGGATTGATGAGGGTGAGCACGTGAATGAATAGTGGCAGGGGTAGAAGGAGGGAATTGAAAAGGAGGTAAGAAAGAAGGACACAGAGGAAGACGAGTGGACAAGGAGGAGGAGGAGGAGGCGGATGAGGAGGAGTGGGGAGGAGGAACGGGATGGACAGAAGGAGGAGGAACGGACAAGGAGGACTGGGATGACGACGGAGAATGGGAGCGGAGGGATGATGAGCAGAAGGTGGGAGGAAGGGAGAGAGTGAGAGGGAGGTGGAGGACGAGCTGGAAAAATCGGGAAGGAGTACCCACCCCGGAGTTCCGCGTTGTCCCCCGCAGACGGAAACGAGGACACGTTGTGTGACCAAACGCCCCAGATGCTCATCATCCGTCGTCATCCTTTCCAGACCCCCTGGCGGCGTGACGTGTCATTTCCCATGGGCCCCAGGAGCTCTGGACCCCTATCCCCAGACTTCTGTCCCCGATCGTTCCTTGGCCGGTCCTGGGGCTGCAACGCTGCCCCTGGGAGGGCGGCGAGGAATGATTTGGAACGGGACCAGAGAAGCCACGACGTCGGAGGTTTGAGAGCGCGCATGTGGAACTTCAGTCCACGCGCCTAGTAAGGACGCGCGCCTTCATCTAGGGTACTCTTGTGTCCTTGCCTCTGGGGCCCATCCTTTGCCGTTTTCACTGGTCACCCGTCGCCCAAAACATCCCAACTTCGGCCTTCAAGGATCTTGCGTCCCGAACCGCCCGTGCTTAATACACGTTTTGACTGTATCGTTGCGGTGATGAGGCGCACCATCATGTTTGCACATTCTTGCTCTTTCTGCCTCCCACTTGCCCCCCTCCTGTCTCTTCTAATTCCGCGCGTGCACCGGATCATCATGCTCATGCTGCAGCGCGGTCCCGATCCTCTCAGAGGAACAGCGCACTACAGGCGCGCCTGCCTCCCTTGCAGGGACGCGGCCCTTCCCGGGACGGCAGCTTCGTTCATTCGTTCGTTCTGTCTTGGTCTTTGTCCGTCGCAGGGGATCTCAGCTCTGCCGGCTACACGGCTGTACCACCCAATCAGGAGCGGGACGCCATGCCGCTGTACCACGCGGGGCAGATCCTGATGTACCAGGGTAGGTACCCGGAGGCCGAGCAGTTTCTTCACAAGGTGGGCTCCCTGATTATGCAGAGGAGGGGGCGGGCGATGGGAGGGGGGTGGGTGAGGGTACCCAGAGGCCGAGCAGTTTCTACACAAGGCGCACATCTTCCTCGCGCAGTGGACAGCCTCACGGCATGTGGTACGGGGGGGGATTCTGTCCTTTTGGGATCCTTGTTGGGCCCCAGGATCGTCAGCAAGACGACTCGGGATGAACCGCCAGTCCCATGGAAACGATGCAGACATCCAGATGTCCACGTTGCGTGTGAAAGAGGACGAAAAAACACGACGTCGGAGGTCTCGGCCCATACTTGCTGAAGAGGGGGCGATGAGTGATGTCAGAAACGGGCACGGGTGAGGGGGGAGGTCGAGAAGGGAGATGGAAATGAAGACGGGGAGGAGGAAGGCGGCGATTGATGAGAATTCAGAATGACCAGAGGATGGGGGTGGAGGGGGAGGGGGCCGATGGAGGCGGCACGGTGCGTAGACGATGAGTTCATCAGAGCACTCGGAGCACACGCCCCTGGCGCGCTCAGCACTTGGGCCAGTGCCGGGCGACAGAAGATGAATCGCGGAAGTCACGCCCCGGAAGCGCATGCCCTCCACGACGACGTAAGCGGAGCGGCACCGTCAGGGGCGCAGATTGGGTGGCTGACGCGCCGAGCGGCGCAGCGCAGCCTGGACGGGCAGCGAGGCCAGCCTGACAAGAGCTCGCAGCGCGGCGCACCAGGCAGGCAGCGGGGTGGCAAATTTCCGGGGGCGTGCGAGCAGTGTGCCTTCAAGCGGGGGGCTCGGCGGGCCCCGCCGCGCGGGCACGCACGGCCACATGGGGCCACACGGGGCCGTCCCCTAACAGAGGGAAAGGAAGAGGGGAGCGACAAGCATCCACCGGCTTGATTGCTCCCGTTCGACATGGAGCATTTGGAAAATTCCAGGCTGGATTCAGCGCTAACCTTTGCCACGGGTGCTGGCAAACGTGAGGTATCCGCAGCCAATTTAAAATGCTGTTGTCTGAAAGATAACTTGTCTGAGTGCAGCCATATTCTCACAGAGAAGAGAGCAGATCGAGTTGAGATAATGTCAGGAATGTGTGAGACAAAGGGGTGCAATAACGTTGAGCGCGCATCTGCCTGCAATGACGCCACGATGGACTGCTTTGCGTGACTCCAGAGTGCAAACAAGTAAGTGTCAGCGGGTGCGTGACCACACGGGAGCATCCATGCGAGAGCGGTAAGACCTCCGAGTGCAGTGACTGACTATTGGCGAGTTGCGTCCCTCTTGTGGCAATATATGCGGCGTAGCAGCAGACCCTGTACAATAACAGTTACAGTTAGGATCTAGAGGCTGACGAATCCATGTTGGGATGTCTGGAACGCCGCTGAGCGTTCCAAGCGCGATCGTTCAGTGGAAATTTGAAATTCTGTGCCGCCCCATTACTATTCGCAAGTGTGATGCTGTACCCCGACAGGGCGATGGGAACGCATTCAGGATGAGATTTCGCGAGTGGGATGTGCATATCGATCCCGTCCTCGGAGCAATTGTCGTTGTTCGAACCTCTAAGATCTGACAGATATTCCGCGAACAAAACTCTTCAGCGGGAGATCGCATTGTTCCCGTCTTCGAAGCTGTTGTCGTTTTCGAACTCCTGCGATCTGGCAGGGGATCTCGCGAGCAAGCTGCTCCAGCTGGAGATGGTATTGCTTTCGTCCTGGAAGCTGCTGTCGTTGCTCGAATCTCCGAGGATCTGGCAGGGGCTTCCGCGAGCAGAATTCTCGAGCGGGGGGGAGTAGGTCTCGCGCCAGTTCCCAACGCTCTCGTGCTCTTTGGGGGCCCGGGGTGGGGCGAGCCTCCCGCACGCCTCGCACTGCTCAACCTCGGCCTCATTCCTGAGGGCACCGCTCGGTGTTCGGCGTTCCAGGCCGACGCTCGTGCCGATGTGCTTCTGATGCCGGATGTTTTCTGTTGCGCAGCGCGGGCGCTCGCTTCTCACGCAGGAGCTTGGACGGATTGGATTTTCGCGAAGTTGCACCCAAGGAGGGGGGAGAGAATGAAAGGGACGCGCATAGATCAGGGCAGGTTTCTCATGTCCCGCCTTCGAGGGGACAGTCTTACCATGTCGTTCGTACACCCGTAGCCATTGTAGCCCCAGCCTTCCCTGCTCGAGAGGGCCTGAGATTAGGCAGCACCTTTCTGGAATAGCTGGCACTGTGCAGTAGGAGTGTTGGTGGCGGCCCACTTTTAGAATGTCGGTGCAGCCGATCTCGGTGTGGCCTACGGTGCTGTGCCTGCTCTTTGCCCCAGTCGCGGCGCAAGACGCATCGTGTGGTTAGTGCACCCTATGCAGCGCAGCCCTGCTTCCAGGAACTCTTCGACGACGGCAGCCGTTGTCTCGACGAGGGATTCCGCACGTATCCACTCCAATTGGACAGACCGCAGTGGTGTTCCCGAGTAGCTCTGCATCGCACCCTTTGGATGCTCGTCTGTACATAGCAATACTAGACTTCGACTGCTAATAATGATGATTATTCTTCTTCTTCTTATTCTTATTATTATTATTATTCGTATTAGTATGATTATTGTAGCGACGAGCCCTGGTGCAACGAGTTTTGCCCAAACACTTGTTCGACTTGAAGTGCTGATCTTCTGTGGATTCGAAGCGAGGCAGACTGCAGCTCGCCCAGGGTTCTCTGCATCCACGGCGGCAGCTGGAAGTGCGGGGGTCCGAACCTGACCGGTCACGGCCCCTCGGCCTCAAAGATTGCGTCGCCCTCCGAAGCCATAGTCGTAATGGTCGACTCCCCGCGAACGCCAACCGCACCGTATGGGAATTTCCCGTTTCCCGACATCATGGAGTGGTGTTTGAAGACATTCGAGTGGCTGTCGACGCATGGGCCATTGGGGTCGGACTGCCCGTCGGAGCCGACACCGATTCTGCTGGTGGGCGGCAACTCGTCTGGGGGCGGCTCCGCCACATCGTTGGCGCCCACGCTGCAGGAGCAGGGCGAGCCGCTGGCCAGCCTCTTCGCGTGTAGCCCGTGTTCGAACATGGCCTCCACCCCCACGTACTATCGAGGACGCCGGCGGCGCATCACCGGCCGCTCCCTGGGAGTTTTTCGAAGAGGTGCGCAGCATCGAAAGTCGTGACGCGGCGCGTATGCCAGCTATCAAAAAGCCGTCGGCCCATCCCGCCACCGTGCTTGGGTTTTGGGTCGGACGGAGTCCTCATGGACGCTTCCTGGGGTCTCTCGAGAGGGCTCTCGGAGGCCTCTGCGGGGGAGTTTAGGGGCCTCTTGGGGGCGCCCCAGGGGCTTCTTGGAGACCTCTTGGGGCCCTCTTGGGGCCTCTTGGGGCTCTCTTGGGGTTTGCTGGGGGGCCCCAGGGGGCCTCTTAGGGCCTCATGGGGGCCTCTTGAGCCGAAAGCTCGAAGTTTTCATTCGGGTGCTCCTTCTGGGCCTCCTCTTGGGGCCATCCTGGGGCCCCTCTTGGGCGGTCTTGGGGCCCTCTTGGGCCGTCTTGGGGCCGTCTTGGGGGCATGTTGGGCCGTCCTGGGGCGATCTTGGGGGCCTCTTGGGCCGTCGTGGAGCGTGGGTAAGCCGAAATGGCGTGAACGTGAAAATCCTTCAAAAACAATTGAATAATCAATGATTTTTGCTTCTCGGGGCTGTCTTGGGGGTGCTCTTGGAGCCCTCTTGGGCCGTCTTGAAGGCGTCTTGGGCCGTCTGGAGGCCATCTTGGGCGTCTTGGAGCGATCTGGAACCGTCTGGAGGCTCTCTTGGACTGCTCGGGACTCTCTTGGACCGGCTTGGGGCGCCCTTGGGTCGTCCCCGGGCCGTTTGAGACCTTGAGGGGGGGGGGGGCCGGCGGCAGAGTGGGGCCCCCTCGGAGGGACTTTCAGGAGGTTTTTGACCAGGCACTGGAGAAGGGGGCCAAAGACTGTGCCAGACACTGTGTCAGAGAGGTCTCGCACGGCCCAACCCGCCGGGCCGGAGCGGCCGGATCGAGGACGCCGGCGGCGCATCACCGGCCGTTCCCTGGGAGTTTTTTTCTCGTGTCAGAGCGATTATGGCCGCGTCGCGCAGCCGTGCGCGTATCATCAAATAGCCGTCGGCCCATCCCGCCACCGTGCTTGGGTTTTGGGTCGGACGGAGTCCTCATGGACGCTTCCTGGGGTCTCTCGAGAGGGCTCTCGGAGGCCTCTGCGGGGGAGTTTAGGGGCCTCTTGGGGGCGCCCCAGGGGCTTCTTGGAGACCTCTTGGGGCCCTCTTGGGGCCTCTTGGGGCTCTCTTGGGGTTTGCTGGGGGGCCCCAGGGGGCCTCTTAGGGCCTCATGGGGGCCTCTTGAGCCGAAAGCTCGAAATTTTCATTCGGGTGCTCCTTCTGGGCCTCCTCTTGGGGCCATCCTGGGGCCCCTCTTGGGCGGTCTTGGGGCCCTCTTGGGCCGTCTTGGGGCCGTCTTGGGGGCATGTTGGGCCGTCCTGGGGCGATATTGGGGGCCTCTTGGGCCGTCGTGGAGCGTGGGTAAGCCGAAATGGCGTGAACGTGAAAATCCTTCAAAAACAATTGAAAAATCAATGAGTTTTGCTTCTCGGGGCTGTCTTGGGGGTGCTCTTGGAGCCGTCTTGAAGGCGTCTTGGGCCGTCTGGAGGCCATCTTGGGCGTCTTGGAGCGATCTGGAACCGTCTGGAGGCTCTCTTGGACTGCTCGGGACTCTCTTGGACCGGCTTGGGGCGCCCTTGGGTCGTCCACGGGCCGTTTGAGACCTTGAGGGGGGGGGGGGCCGGCGGCAGAGTGGGGCCCTCTCGGAGGGACTTTCAGGAGGTTTTTGACCAGGCACTGGAGAAGGGGGCCAAAGACTGTGCCAGACACTGTGTCAGAGAGGTCTCGCACGGCCCAACCCGCCGGGCCGGAGCGGCCGGATCGAGGACGCCGGCGGCGCATCACCGGCCGTTCCCTGGGAGTTTTTCGAAGAGGTGCGCAGCATCGAAAGTCGTGACGCGGCGCGTATGCCAGCTATCAAATAGCCGTCGCCCCATCCCGCCACCGTGCTTGGGTTTTGGGTCGGACGGAGTCCTCATGGACGCTTCCTGGGGTCTCTCGAGAGGGCTCTCGGAGGCTTCTGCGGGGCATTTTAGGGGCCTCTTGGGGGCGTCCCAGGGGCTTCTTGGAGACCTCTTGGGGCCCTCTTGGGGCCTCTTGGGGCTCTCTTGGGGTTTGTTGGGGGCCTCCAGGGGGCCTCTTAGGGCCTCATGGGGGCCTCTTGAGCCGAAAGCTCGACATGTTCATTCGGGTACCCCTTCTGGGCCTCCTCTTGGGGCCATCCTGGGGCCCCTCTTGGGCCGTCCCGGGGGCCTCTTGGGCGGTCTTGGGGCCCTCTTGGGCCGTCTTGGGGCCGTCTTGGGGGCATGTTGGGCCGTCCTGGGGCGATATTGGGGGCCTCTTGGGCCGTCGTGGAGCGTGGGTAAGCCGAAATGGCGTGAACGTGAAAATCCTTCAAAAACCATTGAAAATCGATGATTTTTGCTTCTCGGGGCTGTCTTGGGGGTGCTCTTGGAGCCCTCTTGGGCCGTCTTGAAGGCGTCTTGGGCCGTCTGGAGGCCATCTTGGGCGTCTTGGAGCGATCTGGAACCGTCTGGAGGCTCTCTTGGACTGCTCGGGACTCTTTTGGACCGGCTTGGGGCGCCCTTGGGTCGTCCCCGGGCCGTTTGAGACCTTGAGGGGGGGGGGGGGCCGGCGGCAGAGTGGGGCCCCCTCGGAGGGACTTTCAGGAGGTTTTTGACCAGGCACTGGAGAAGGGGGCCAAAGACTGTGCCAGACACTGTGTCAGAGAGGTCTCGCACGGCCCAACCCGCCCGGCGGGAGCGGCCGGATCTGAAGGGTTTTGCCCTCTGCCGCCGACACCCCCTCTGCTTGCATGGCCACTTTTGGTTGGTAGGTCGATGGGTATTCTTGTCGATTGGTATTCCTGTCGGTTGGCTTGCTGGGCAATAGGCTGATTACCCCACGAGGGCGCTGGTGGATTACAACACTTTTTCATGGGATGCGTTGTACGAGGTGGGGACGTCGTGTTCCAGGGTGCGCCGCTCAACCGCACTGCAGTACGTCGGCCGTGGTGTCCCCCTTCCACGCGGGCGAGGCCCAGTTCAAGATGGCCTCCGCACCCATGTACATCGCGGTGAGCCAGGCAGAGGCGATCGCAGGTGGCAGCATAGTGTTCGCAAAGAAGGCCGCGCGAAATGGCTTCGATAATCATCTCGACGTGTACCAAGGAATGTGGCATGTCTCCCCGATGTGCTCGGAGGATTGCGGCAATATTGAGCTCTGGCGTGCGACGGTAGTTCTCAACCGAATTGTCGACTTCTTCCGGGAGATCTCGCAGCGCGCCAGTGGGATGAGCCCGGGGGAGCGTGTCGAGGTTGTGGCGGATGGCGCGCCCCTCCTGCATGTGCATTTTCTGGCGATCCACCAATACGAGGGCCTTGGATCGAGAAGCACCCGCCGAAGCTGCTCGACCTGGTGCTCGACGCGGCGCCCGCCGAGGCTGCTGCGAACGACAACGGCCGCTGGCCTGTGATCTTGGTCGCCCTTCTGGTCGAGGGACCCATGCCGCTACCCCGGCTCGTTTTGCCGTGCCACCGCTGGGTTCGCCTTGAAATTCTGGTCAGACCGCACCCCGGGAGAGGTCTGGGGAGCAGCGGCATCGGTACCTTTTGGTTTCCCCAGCTTTGGTCGCCCCCAATGGTCGCGCGTAGAGCGATTTGCTCGACTCGGGCCAGCCGTCCGTCTGCGGGGCGACAGCGGCGTGTTACGACCGCCCACCTTCAGCCCCCGTCCCGCTATCTTTGTCCGCCTCCCGCGTGTCCTTCTCGTCCTTCTCCCGTCGGTCGCGTCGTCCCGTTCTCCCCCGGCTGGTCTTCCCCTTGAACGGAAGCGAGACATTTGATTCTCTTCGCAGTGCCAGCTCCTCGACTTCCAGACCAGTCTCGTTCAGGGCCTCGCCACAGGAGTCCTGCTCCCAGACTGTAGGGGCTTTGTGCCATGCGTTTGTCCGATAGTTGTGGTGTCAAAACGACCTGGAACCTGCCCCATTTGCCTTCATTTCTACGCCGACCCTACCATTTCGCTTCCTCCCTCCAAGCATCAGTCCGATCACTCCATCCCTCCCCGTCCCCTTGCGAAACGTCCCCGTCTTTCTCCGATCCCTTCTCGCCGTCGTGCTCCTCTCTCTCTTCGCGCTCCGATTCCTCCCCTCCCTCCTCACCATCCTGATGCTTTTGCCCCTCCTCCGCCCTCTCCGCCCTCATTCCCCCTCTCCCCATCCCCGCGCTTGGAGTGCGAGAGGCATGCCTGTGCCCGCCGGCCCTGGCACGTGGAGCGCGCTGGCGCCGCGAGGCCGAGTCTGCAGGTTCACGAACGGTGTCCCTGCGGTTGGTCCGAGAGCTCTGAGGGCTCCCCCTTTCCCCTCCTCCCGGGCCGAGCAGCCGAAGTCTGCTCAGATGTGCCGAGGGCATTGCCCGCCGCGAGCCCGGGCCCGCCGGTGCATAGCGCCTGTGGTCCCTCGGCGCGTGTCCGCTCCGTCGGCGCGCTCACGCCCCGAACTGGTGATCAGAAACTCCCGCCGTTTCTTGCCGAGAGGGGGGGACCGTCACCAGTACCAGCCTGGAACAGATTCCTACCCCCTGTGGTTGGCATCACATCTGTTCGACGCCAGCCTTAGGGATCCCCTACCGTTTCTGAGGGTGCACCCCCCGAGGTTGTCGTCCCAGTTGGGCTTGCCAAGCTAAGGAGAGGGAGAAGTGCGAGGCTGGCTACACCACCAAGGCTCACCAGGGACGAGTTGAGGGGAGGGTGGGCGCGGCGCTGCACGTCGCCGCGATGTCCGTCGGCATCTGTGCCGCTTGCTGCTGCGGCTGGCTGCTGCGGCTGGCTGCCGCGGCTGGCTGCCGCGGCTGGCTGCTGCGGCTGGCTGCTGCGGCTTGCTCCTGCGGCTGGCTGCTGCGGCACCTGGCCGCGGGTCGGCGGCGCGGCCAGCCAGCAGCGCACCGCCTGCGAGCTCACGCTGGGAGCCCCCTCTCCTCTTCCTCCCTCCCCCACGCCCTCCCTCCCTCCCTCCCTCCTCTTCCTCCCCTCCTCCTCCCTCCCCCTGTCCCTCCCCGCCCTCCCTCCTCCCGGCGGGGAGGTCCTACAGGGGACGGGGGGAGCCGGGAAGGGCCTTCTCAGATCCTCCTCTCTCCCCGGGCCCCTCCCGTCGGCCAAAGCCCTCCCTCTCGGCGCTGCGCTGCCGCGCCCGCCCACCCTGCCCCCGGGGCCTGCGGCGGCAGCGAGGCCGTGACCGGGTACTTCAGCCCGCTGACCCTGGCCGAGGTTGGCCCGCCGGCGCGGCGCGGCGGCGGCGGTCACGGCGGCGACGGCAGCACCGACGACGGCGGCGAGCGGCGGAGACGATGTGGGCGGTGGTGACGGCGCCAGAGGCGACGGCGACGACACTGCGGCGACGGCGGCGAGCGACGGCGGTGACGGCGGCCACGGTGGCGGCGCCAGAGACGAGAGCGACGGCGGCGACGGGGGCCAAGACGCGGCGACGGGGGCCAAGACGCGGGCGGAGGTGACGACATCAGCGAGGGCGGCGCCCGCGGCGGCGGCGGCCGCCCTCGGTCCCATCTCCAAGTGCCCTCGGGAAATCCATGGTGGTTTGGGTTTCAGGCAAATTTCGATCCGGTTGTCCGATGCAAGATATCGATTCCTGCCGGCTCGATCCGACTCGACTCCGATATTCCGACGCCCCGATGCGGCCCGATGCTTGCACGGCTCAGCTGTGCATCCTGGGAGCGGCCGATCCCATTCCGACTCCCTTCCGTTGCGGCCTGGCCCGAGGCACGTTCCGATCCGATCTCCAGCGATCCGATGCCGACTCCCCTCGCTTTCCAGCTGGGCGTCGGCGTCCGGGAGAGCTCCCATCGTCGCCACGGCCGGACGCGGCTCGGACAGCTGCTCGGGCACGTGCCTGGCACTTGCCCAGGGGGCCGACTTCGAGCCCGCCCAGAGAGGGCCCTGCCATGCGGGCGCCGTGCGCAGGGTTCCCATGCGACCGGCCAGGCTCGGCACGGACTGCGGGGGGCGGGTGGGGGGCGTGTCCGAGAGTTCCAGCCGTGCCGGGCGGCGGGGCTCGTCCGCCCCGAGTCCGAGGAGGCAACCGGAGACTTCAGGGAAAGCGCAGGGGGCGATGTCTTGGCCTTCCCCCCAAAGGCCTGCAGCGGCAAAGGACGGAAAGTATCCAAACTCACAGGTCTTCGACCTTCCCTTCCCCTCCTCCTCCTCCTCCTCCTCGTCCCTCCTCTCTCCTGAGCCTCCAGTGCGGAGGTCGAGCCGTCGTCTTGGAGGCCTTGGAGCCTTCGGATCCTCGGGAGAGATTTGGAGATCTCCGGTGAAAGGGGGAGAGGGAGGTGATGGAGGAGGAGAATGGGGGAGGAAGAGGACGGTGCTTTCGCCTCTGCCAACCGCTGCGCCGCTGCTGGGCGCCTGTCGGGGCCGGCAGGAGGAGGTTTGGCACGACTACGGGCTAGCGCTGTGGCACGTGGGCAGGCGCGAGGAGCCGGGAGAGGAACGGGGCAAAGCATTGCTGTAGGTTCGGGGATCGATGTGTTTGAGCGTCTTCGGCACAGTTAAGTTTGGCCCCCCCCCCCCCCCCAGGGGCATGCAGAGGCTTCGGGAGGCGTGCCTCCGGAGGCTCCCAGAGACCTCCAGGGCAGCACAGGCTTGCTTCTGGGCCAGGCTTCAGCTGTGCTGCGGCCACGGCCTCCCGGCCCGTTGCCACCAAGGCCCTCTGAGGCCTCACGCATCACGCGTCACGCACACGGCCTGCACCGCATCACGCACACGGCCTGCACCGCATCGCGTACACCGCATAGCTTGCACCGCAGAGCTTGCGCCGGATAGCTTGCACTACACGGCTTTCACCAACTAGACCACGTGGCTTGCACCGCACAGAGTTTGCACCACACTGCTTCCTTTTTTCCATAGCTTCGACCACCCATAGCTTGCACCACATCGATTTGATCATGCATAACTTGCACCACGCACATCTATTGCACAGTGAGCTTGCACACGCTCAAGTCGACACTGCTCAGGGTCTACGCTGGCAAACGTATTTGAGCAACAATCCATGCGAAGCTGGTGTTCTTGTTCTTTCATCATGATGCCACATGTGGTTTCCCAGACCATGAAGCAGTAGCCAAGAGGACAAGCCGGTCTCCAGGAGGGTGTCCAAAGGTCCAGAGCCTGTGCCGAGAACGGGAGAAAGAGAGGATGTGTTGGTATGTTCCTTTTCCCCGAGGAGGCGGTCCAGAATTTCCAGAACGCCATCACGACGAACCCCGCGTTTCCCAAGGGCGCCCGGGGGGAGCGTCTGCCAGACTGCGTTCCGCCCGCGCACGGCCCTCGTCGCGTTCGCAGACCTCCCTCCGCTTGCCGAGAGGACGGCCGTCGTGCGCGTGGGGCGAGCGGCTTGCGCGACGAGGGTCGCCTGCCCGGACACTCGCGCGCGAGCTCACGGTCAGGAGCGCTTGCCCAGCGTGCCGCGCCGCCGGTTCCGACCCACCACGCCTCGGTGCGACGGCGCAGACACGTCCCAGTCCCCAGGCGGCAGCGTCCCGAGCTCCTCCCAGCCCCCCGCCCCGCGACACGATTTGCCCTTGCAGGGCATGGCGTGCCGCTGGGGCCGCCGCCGCGACACGCGAGGCAAAAGCTCCCGACCTGACTGCGTCTGGCCGCGTAATTATGAGCGCACTCTCGTCCAGCCGGTGTGCCACGTCTGCGTGAGCCTGCGGGTCAGGTCATTGTGCCCGCATGCGCAAGGCACCCCCTTCTTCGTCGCTCGGGTGTGTGGTGTCGGAGGCTCGGGAGCCGCATTCAGCACGGATAGAGGCTCGGTCTATGCGGGACGGTGGAGCCGCTTCCATCCATATTCCACCTCTTCATCGTCCTCCGCGCCCTCCTCCCATTCCCACTCCTCCCCCTGCGCCGGAAGACGCGGCCAGGCCAGATGTACCCTTGCCTGGGCGAGAGCTGGAAACATGTGGCTGCATGTCGTTCCAGCGCTCGGCCCGAGTGCGATTGGGCCCAATGGCCCTCCGCACGTGCATCCAGCGCATAGCCCCCGCACGCTCGGAATGCACCACGCAACTCCAGCGGCACGTTCGTCCATATTCCATAGTTTTCCGCGCCTTCTTTATTTATTCGGTATGAGCTCGTCGGAATGCAGCTCGCCAGCAGCAGTGAATGCTGTTGGTAAGGCTGAGCGGTTCGGTGCCTCCTGCCGTCTCTGCTGGCGGCTCTGCGTTGCCGCTGCGGGATGCAGTTTTGCGCAGGCTTCTCGCGACCGAATCGTTGCGTAAGTTTGTCGCGCAGAGAGAGAGAGAGAGAGAGAGAGAGCCGGAGTCCACTGTTCGCTCCACCTCCCTACGCGCGGCGTGTCCCCGCTGACGCCTGTGCCGCCGCATTTCTGTTGGAGGGGGTGTGAGCACATGTGAGCGCCCCGTATACATGCGGACCTCTTCTTGGCTGTGGTGCTGATCACGATGCGCCCCGCGCGGCTGATCGCAGAGAGCCAGTGCGCATTCCAGCCGCCCTACTGGTTCGGCAACTCTGGCCTCGTCTTCGCCCCTCCCCCTCTCATCCTCTCCTTCGTCCTCCTCGTTCACCTTCTAGTGTTACGGCCCTGGGGCCCGTCGTGGTCATAGAGGTCGTGGAGGGCGTCGTCGTCATCGGCGTCGTTGCTGTCGCCGCAGCGGGGGCAGGCTACAACAACCTCGGCTGTGCCCCGGCCTCGTGCCCGCCGGCGCTGCGACCGCCGGCCGAGACCGCCCCCCCGCCGCTCGCCCCGCCGAGCCTCGACGGCAAAGACGACGACGGCGGCGGCTGCCGCGGCCGCGGCGGCGGCGGCAAGGGTGGTGGCGACAGCGACGGCGACGGCGGCGCGCCCGCGGCCGCGCGCGCGCGTGGGCGCGCTCCGCCGTGCGCGGCGGGAGGCGGGCCGCGACGCACCGGTCGGGGTGGCCCCGTCGGGGACGGTGGCATGCCGACGGCTACGACGACGGCTTGCCGCGGCCGCGACGGCCACGGCTACGACGACGGCGAGGACGCGGACGAGGGCGGCAAGCGGAAGGCAGCAGTGCGCGCCGGCGGCGGCGCGGCGGCCTGGCGCCCCTTGGCGCGCCAGATTGATTTCGGTGCAGGCTTCGCTTGGGCCGCCAGAGTGATTTCGGTGCACGTTTCCCCCCTCTCCCTCCCCATCCCCTCCCTGGCGCGCAGAGCGCGCCAGGGGCGGCGGCAGGGGCGCCGACAGGGAGGGTCCAGCGCCTATCCGAGAAATCCGCGCGGACCTCCGAATTTTTATGTTCATGTCATTGTTTGTTTCTCTAATGGAACACATCCCCCTCCCTCAACCGCGAGGCGCCCTGTTCGCATGTGCCTTTGGCGAGCTCGCGCGCGAGAACAGAGGCCGCTCGGGCATCGCCTCAAGAATGCACTGGCACGGACCGAGACTTCGTCGCGGCGGCACTCGCGGCCCCGTCGCACCCATGGTCACGGCCGAGGCGTAGGAAGAGGACGGGGCGCAGGAGGAGGACGAGAACGTGGGGGGAAGGAGGAGGAGGGAGGAATGAAGGAAGATGGCGGCAAGGATTAGAGCTCACATGTGATGACTTGCCATCCAGTAGCGGCGACGACAAGGGCGTCAACGAACGCGGCAAAGGCGAAGGCGACGGTGACGGCGGCGAGGGCGACGAGGACGGCGGCGGCGGCGACGCCAGCGGCGGCGCTGGCGGCGCTGCACTTGGCGCCGAGGCCTTGGTCCTGCTCGGCCTCTCAGCGACGCCGGCCAACGCACAGACCGTGCAGCAGGGGCTGCAGGCGCCCTCTGCGCCCTTGCGGGCTTCTCCGCCGCCCGCCGCGCCCCCTGCGCCCCCGCCTCGCTCGCGGTGGCCCCCTGCGCGGCTCCTCCGCGCTCGTGGCCGGGCGCGCCGCGCCGTGCGGGCGGAGGGATTCTGCCAGTATCGTGTGGATGTCGTCCCCGATGGCCGCTGGATATGTGTATATATATATATATACATATATATATATATATATATATATATATACGCACGCACACACACACACCAGGCTACAGGGGGAAAGGAGCGCATGATGCCCCCAGGACGCCACAAGAAGCCCCCGAAATCCTGCCCAAGAGGTCCCAAGGGCCGAAGTCTATACATTTTAGGAGGGTGCTTTCCGCGTGTGCGTGTGTCCAGCTCCGGTGCAATCCGAAACGGCCCAGACGCCCTCGAGTTCGCTCTGAGACGGCCCAGGAAACTCCCAACACGGCCCAAAAACAGCTCCAGAGGGCCCCCAGACCTCCCACGAAGCCGCCAACCAGACCCTCAGACCTGCCCAACACGTTCTGGGGAGCCCTTCCTTGCCAAAATAGCGACACAAGACGCCCCAAGAAGCCGCCGTAAATCTGTCCAGGAGGGCCCCCAGGGCAGAATTCCATGCATGTCGCGAGGGTTTTTGCAAGATGTTCACGTGTGCGCCTGTCCAGCTCTGGTGTAATCCGAAATCGCCCTCGACGCTCTCCGCTTCGCTCTGAGACGGCCCAGGCGGCTTCTAACACGGCCCGGAAACAGCCACAGATGGCCCCAAGAGGGCCTCCGAAGCCGTCAACTAGCCCCCCCAAATGCCGAACACGATCCAGGGATGCCCCCCTCACCAAAATAGCGACTCCAGACGCCTAAGACAGTCTGCAGGCACCCCATTTGCCTACAAGACGCCCCAACAAGCTGCGGGCAACATGCCCATGGAGCCCCGAGAGCCGAATTCAATGCATTTTTACTTAACAGCGAAAACTGATAGGTTTCTAGTGGTGTCAAAAGAGAGCAGCAGATGACTCCACAGGGGGGTCCGGGCGGGACCCGGGGCGGCTGCCGCCGAAGCCCAAATCGCTTGGGACATCCTCGCAAAATCGCTGTTGGCGCTGCTAGAACTCCATTCCCGGCGTACATTTTGAATGCCCGGAGCCAACTGTAGGCCACTTCGTGGTCTTCGAGTTCCCAGAACTCCACTCCCGGGCCACATTTTGAATGCCTGGAGCCAACTGTAGGCCACTTCGTGCTCTTCGACTTCCCAGAACACCATTCCCGGGCCACATTTTGAATGCCCGGAGCCAACTGTAGGCCACTTCGTGCTCTTCGAGCTCCCAGAACTCCATTCCCGGGCCACATTTTGAATGCCCGGAGCCAACTGTAGGCCACTTCGTGCTCTTCGAGTTCCCAGAACTCCATTCCCGGGCCACATTTTGAATGCCCGGAGCCAACTGAGGCTGAGGCAGGCTGCTGCTGAGGCAGGCTGAGGCTGAGGCTGAGGCAGGCTGAGGCTGAGGCAGGCTGAGGCTGAGGCTGAGGCTGAGGCTGAGGCTGCAGGCTGAGGCTGAGGCAGGCAGGAGGCTGAGGCTGAGGCAGGCTGATGCTGAGGCAGGCTGAGGCTGAGGCTGAGGCTGATGCAGGCTGAGGCTGAGGGCTGAGGCTGAGGCCGAGGCTGAAGGCAGACTGAGGCTGAGGCTGAAGCAGGCTGAGGCTGAGGCTGAGGCAGGCTGAGGCTGAGGCTGAGGCAGGCTGATGCTGAGGCAGGCTGAGGCTGAGGCTGAGGCTGATGCAGGCTGAGGCTGAGGCAGGCTGAGGCTGAGGCCGAGGCTGAAGGCAGACTGAGGCTGAGGCTGAAGGCAGGCTGAGGCTGAGGCTGAGGCAGGCTGAGGCTGAGGCTGAGGCAGGCTGAGGCTGAGGAGGCTGAGGCTGAGGCTGAGGCTGCAGGCTGAGGCTGAGGCTGAGGCAGGCTGAGGCTGAAGGCAGGCTGAGGCTGAGGCTGAGGCTGAGGCTGAGGCTGAGGCTGAGGCTGAGGCTGAGGCAGGCTGAGGCTGAGGCTGAGGCAGGCTGATGCTGAGGCAGGCTGAGGCTGAGGCTGAGGCTGATGCAGGCTGAGGCTGAGGCAGGCTGAGGCTGAGGCCGAGGCTGAAGGCAGACTGAGGCTGAGGCTGAAGCAGGCTGAGGCTGCAGGCTGAGGCTGAGGCAGGCTGATGCTGAGGAGGCTGAGGCTGAGGCTGAGGCTGAGGCTGAGGCTGAGGCTGAGGCTGAGGCTGAGGCTGCAGGCTGAGGCTGAGGCTGATGAGGCTGATGGCTGAGGCTGAGGCAGGCTGAGGCTGAGGCCGAGGCTGAAGGCAGACTGAGGCTGAGGCTGAAGCAGGCTGAGGCTGAGGCTGAGGCAGGCTGAGGCTGAGGCTGAGGCAGGCTGATACTGAGGCAGGCTGAGGCTGAGGCTGTGACTGTGACTGCCGTTGCCACTGCGACTGTCATCGCGAATGCGACTGCGACTGCGAGAACAGGAGAATTCTACAACTGGATTCTCATCTGGATCTTAAGGGGAATGTTTCCATATATGCTTCTACACATCGCTGTTAGGTTGCTTTGCCGGGATAATATTACGGTTTCTGATCGATTTGCGACGGGTCCCGAAGGGTGGCGAGCTCGTTCTTACCAGGTAGCAGTCCCAGAGGCCTCTAAGACGACCCACGAAGCCGCCGTGAAGCCCTCCAGACCTTTCCAAAACGGTCCAAACAGCCTCCCCCTCAACCGCCGCGAAGTCCCCGAGACCTGCCCAAAATGGTCCAGGGATGCCCCCCCCTCACCAAAATGACGGCCCAAGACGCCCTGGCGCCCAGGACAGCTTTCGAAAAGCCCAGGGTGCCGCCAAGACGCCCCCAGAAGCCCCCTGCAACCTTCCCAAGAGCGCCTCAAGACGGCCGAAGAGGGCCCCGAGACAGCTCAAGGGGACCCCATGACTGCCCAAGAGGGCCCCGCGAGGCTCTTAAGACAGCTCTCACGGGCCCTCAAGACCCCCAGAGCCCCCCATGACGGCCCAGAACAGTTCCATCATGGACAAAAAGGACTTCGACGACGGTGGCGATGATGATGATGATATTGCTGCTGATGATGATGAAGATGATGGTAATGAGTGTGTTCATGATGACGATGATGATGCTGATGCTGCTGTTGATGAATAAAATGGTAATGAGTGTGTTCATGATGACGATGATGATGCTGATGATGATGATGATGCTGATGATGATGCTGATGACAATGACAATGACAACGAGGACGATGCCGGTGGTGATTATGATGATAGTGATGATGCTGGAGATGCCCTCAAGCCCCCATTTCACGTTCTCCAATACCGTCTCCCCAGAGCACGCAAGCTTGCGATGACGATGACGATGACGAGTAGGATGATGTGGACTATGAGGAAGACGGCGGTCATGCAGATGTTGAGCACAAAGCTGACCAGTATATGATGATGACGATCCTGCTGGTGCTGAGTATGCACATGACGACCATGCTGATGACGATACGGATGACAATGATAAGTACGATGCGACGACGATGATGATGGCGATGCAGTCGCGTTGAGCCACGATGAAGATGACGATGACGATGACGATGACGGCGACAATATTGCTCATGCTGGTGACGACGATGAAGATGGCGATGCTGATGATGAGGATGATGTCCGACAGCCCACATTTCGCGTTCTGCGGGAACGTCTCTCTTGGGCACGTGAACTCACGATGACGGTGGCGATGGCGATGACGACGACGATGGCGAGGATGATGATGATGATCAGGTCGGCGACGACAATCATGAGGGTGGTGATAACGACATTGACAACAAGATGATGATGACGTCCTTGGTGATGCGGATGCTTCACACGAGGACCCTGATATTGACTATTCAAATGACGATGCTGATGGCGCCTGTTGCCTCGGTCTGCACATGGTGTTCTTATGTGAACTGCCGGCGGATCTGCCTGACCCGACTGGCCCGACGTGAGAGTCCGCGTCTGCGGCACTAGTCTTCTCCCCCCCTCTTTCTTCAGCTTTCTTTTTCTGCCTTGCTCCTCTTTCGCTCGTGTGGATCCACATTGCGAGTGCTTCGGAGATCGGTCGATACGTGTGCGCACTCGCGAGCTGTCTTTCTGCCCGGGGAATGCCAGCCCACCCTCGGTGCGGTATCCTGTTTAATGTTGTTCGCTTCTCGTCCTCCTCTTGCTCGTCCTCCTCTCCCGCCGGGTCGTTTCTTTTCGGAGCACCTTGTGTGGCGCATTTGTGTGCCAGGTCCGCGCCAGTACTGCGCAGCACGGACCGCAGGCTATTCAGGGTTTTGGTGCTCTCCCTCGGGATGCTTCGGTCGGGGGCCCTGGCCCGCGGGCGCGCCGACGTTTCAACGTGCATTGCACCTCGAGCTCCCGAGAAACAGAGAAGACGAAGACTACTGTTTGCCTCTGTCAATTCTCCTCCGCATCGTCTGTCGCCCCTCATTCCCCCCTTTTTCTCCCCTTTTCCCCACGCCCCCTTTCCCATCAACCCTCTAACCCTTCCCGCCAGTTTCTCTTTCCTGGCGCCGCGGCGCCGACTTCGTCGTCGTCGTCGTCGTCGTCTCCTGCCCCGGGATCCTGCTCGCTTTTTGGACCGTCTTGGGGAGGTCTGGGGGGCTCCGCGGCGGCCCCACTGTTCAAAATGGTCCAAAGAGGCGCCCCCCCCTCATCAAAATGACCAGCCAAGATGCCCGGGACGGCTTCCGAAAAACCCAGGATGCTTTCAAGACGTCCCAAGAAACCCCCGTCAACCTTCAAAGAGCACCGCAACATGGCCGAAGAGGGCGCACACTAGGACGAGGACGAGCGTCAATGAAGCTCGCAGCCATCATGTTCCGTACGTCGCACATGGTTGTGACCTCAACTAAAACTTACGCGCGCGAAGCGCGCGTGGTTCCAGAGTAATGTGTGTAACTATACGAATGCACACACACGGGGCGTCATGTGAATAACACGCGGCATAACTATGCATAGACAAATTCTTAAATTCATAAACATCTACCTAGATGGGCGTGCGTATACATACACCTATATGTGTGTGCGCCAACGCACATACATCAACGTGTATGCATGTATGAATGTATGTACGTGTATACACATATATATATATATATACACAAACCTGTGTAGATATACAAATACCAATATATATATATATATATACCGCGGCCCGAGAGCCACACCTCCTGTCGTTGCGAAGAAAACTAGCGGCTGATGGGCTTTGCCTTGTTAGGATCCCCCAGGGCCGCAACAGCAGGATACGGAATGAATACATCTTTTCCAGGGCAGAAGGTCCAGTCTACCGGGGACGAGGGACAGCATCATACCCGTATCTATTTGTTATGAGGAGGGATCGCTGTCAGTGTCACCGCGGCCATTGCCCATTTGAGACAAGAAGTCGCCTACCCAGCAGCGGACGCTGTCGGTTCTGGACAGCATCTGCGGTCGGGCATTGTGCAGATTTCTGTCCGTGCCATTTCCGACGTGCGACGCTCCCCCTTCCCTGTCGCAGGGCCTATATAAGATTGGCACTACCACCGCCAGTCGGTAACCTCCAGCGAGGAGGTCCCTGATGCTTCCCCAGGCTTGACTCTGGAAATGCGGATCATACCACCGGGAGGACCTCGGACGGCTTCTGGCTATGGTGTTGGTGGTCTCGACCCTCCTTGCTCCCAGCGGCGGTGCTGAGACCCCCTGCGGCAGGAGATGCGCTGTCCCCCGGCCGTCCCCGAGAGGGAGTTGCCGCCGGAGGGGCCGCGCCCGCGGCCCCAGCCGCGGCCTCAGCCAGGCCACCAAGCACCAGGCCCAGCGCCCGCGGCCTCAGCCAGGCCACAGCGGCCGCGGCGCGCGGAGCCACCGAACCACTCAGCCGGACGTGCGCTGCTCGGAAGGCTTGGGGGTCACCGGCGACGGCGGGAAAGCGCTTTCAGGCTCAGACTGGTCGTAAGGGCACCGCCGCAGGGGCCGAGGGGCACGCGCATGCGATCGGCAGCGTGCAGCTGGCAGGGCTTCCTCGCGGAGCGACTCGCTCTCCCTCGTCCTTCCCCTTTCCTTCCTGCCCTCCTGCTTCCTCCTCTTCGCTCACCCCCCTCGCCCCCCATCCCAGATCTCCTGGTGCGATATCTGTCACGTGATATTGGCCTCTGGGGTTCTCCACCACTTCCCAAGGACCAGCTTGTACACGTCAGACTGGTTATTGATGGCCCCCTTGTGCACTGGGCGCCAGGTGGGGCCCTCGCTGAAACGGCTGAAACACGTTTTCTTGTTCTTCCGTGGCGTCGGGGGCTGGAAGAGCGTTCAGGTTAAGTTCGTCCGCTCTTCATTGCCCTCGTGTCGATCAGCATGTATACCCCAGGCCCTCGGGCCCCTTCGTTTACGAACGGGCTCGCTTTGGGGGGGGGGCTATCATGCCACTTCCTGGGTAAATCCCGATAGGGTGAGAGAGGCGGGTCGGGCGGACAGTTCCTGACGGGCGGGGCAGACTTTGATGAGCTGGGGGACCTACCAGAATAGCACAACGAGACAATAAGCCCGTGCCTTCCTCTTCCTCCGAGCGGCCGAGCGGGAGGCAATGGAGCAGGCCATCAGCTTGCTGCCCAGTACGCCGTTGTACTGGAGGGGGGGGGGGTCAGCGGACGGCCGAGTTACCTCGGATCGTCGTGGCCGTCGTCGTCTTTGTCGTTGTTGCCGTCACGTTCGTCGTCCATCGTCGTCGGTCGTCCGTCTGTCGTCGTCCGTTGTCCGTCATCGGCGTCATCGTCGTCCGTCGATCGTCGTCCGTTGTCCGTCGGCGTCGTTGCCGTTCGCCCGTCGTCGGTCATTGGTTTTCGTCGTCGTCGTCGTTGCCGTGGTTGTCGTCGTCGTGGAAGGCTGAGGGAGGAGATTGCTGATGACGAGAGGGGCGAGGGGCAGGAAGGAGGCGGTGAAGGCGGATAGCGATGAGGAGGAAAGTGTAATCACGAGGATGGGGGAAATATTTGGAGGAGGAGAGGAGGAGGAGGAGGAGGAGGAGGAGGAGGAGGAGGAAGAGGAGGAAAGGGAGGAGGAGGAGGAGGAGGGCGACTGAAGCAGGGCCCGAGTCGAACAGGGAGCGAAACGTTAACCGATCGCGATGTCACATCAGGGGGGACGGGTGGAGCAGGAAGGAGGCCGTAAGGAGTGACAGGGAAGATGCAGGAAGGAATTCGGAAACAGTTAGCAGAAGTGAGGAAATGGGCACCAGGCTGCCGCGATGAGCAGAGAGGTAGGAGGATGACAATGAGCAGAAGGTGAAGGAGGAGAAAGAGAGTTGAAATGGAGGAGGAAGGACGAGGAGCGGCGGACGGATAACGACGGACGCGAAAGGAGGAAAGGACGGAGACGAGGAGGGACGAGGGAGGATCACGCCCTCTCAGACATCCCCAGAATCATCGAGGTTTCTCGTGCTATACAAATGCAGCCAGTAGAACACATACACCTACAGCCGTTCCCCATGTCTGTCTCCCTCCGTTTCCCATCATGATCGTCTCGATCGTCCTTGGTGCTGGGCATTTCTTTTTGCATCCTGGTCATACGCGTTATTATGTTGATGTTCCCCTCCGCACTCCAGTGGGGACATGCCTCGAAAGCATTGGGTCGCCGTGTTTCGACCAGAAATGAGTTTCCCCATGCCCATCGTGATTGTACGACCTGCACGGCCGGCGCGTGCGCCCGCGATTCAGGCATGGCGGGCTCTGTATGGCAACAGTGAAGATGTCGCCATGCTGGCACATACCACCAAAGTGAACCCTTGACTTGCGCCACTGCGATTTTCAACTTAGCATGCGATTTCCCACACGTCCATTGTAGAGTCCAGCCTACCAGTCGGGCGCTACACTTCTTCACCACTCTTTCCTGCGCCATTCTATGTTTGGCCAGCCGGAGGTGAGAAGGAGCGGGAGGCGCTACGAGGAACAAATGGATGATGTTGGGTGGGCTTCCTTGTGCACGTGTCTCCCCATGAGCTGAGACAGCCTGAAAATTGTCCCAACACATAGCCTGCCTTCCTCAACTTCCTTCTCATGTTCTGTGCCATCCCCTCAAGTAGCCATCTTGGCTCAAGTAGATTGGCCGCGTACGGGAAGTCATTGTCTTTATCCCTGTTGCTCTGGGCTTTTGCGGTCACCATGGAGAAGTCCAGACAAACCACGGCGGACTCGAGTACTGGCTCAACTCCGAAGGAAAATACATTTCGTGTAGATGACGAATAGGAATATGTAGAGGATGAGAAGAGCGCGAAGGAAATGCTCAAGACGATTGTGCACATGATGTAGGACTGAGGCAGGCCATGAAACACACGAGAAAGGATGTGGAGGAAACGAAGGCGATCGCTCATCAGGCCAAGTCCACAGCCATGGTCAAAGAGGGGCTGGCCACGATGAAGGGGGACTTGTCAACCATGGTGAAGGACATTGCGAAAGGAAGAGTGAGAGAGCAAGACCATGAGACCAGCAGGGACCGACATATATTCTTTGGGCGAAGATTTCCGGGAGCTTCCGGTCATCGTCAAAGGATTGTGAGAGCAGAAGGATGGAGATGAGGTCATGCGTGAGTTTCAGCAGATGATCGGGGACGTCGGGGTGAATCAGCAAATCAGCAAGGTTTCTATTTTCAGTGGCTCGTCTTGGATCGGGGTCTTGCAGTTCTCCACGGTTGCGGCCAAAAGTGGATTTCCTCAAGAAAACGAGCGGTGCGAGGCGGAATGGGATGAACGGCGACGAGATGATTTCCACATGCAGCGACGGCTTCGTCAAAAGGTTGGAGGACAAACGCGTGACACTTGTTGAGCATCAGCTCCACGATGAGAAGGGCAATGTGCTCGAGGATATCCAGATCAGGTGGGAGAAGAAGGCAGTGGCGTTGAAAGGTAATCGGGCCGCCTGGGTAGAAGACGGCGCCATGAAGTACGACGGGGAAGGGCTCTAGGTGAAGGGTTCCGTGGAGACCAACATGCGGCTGCGGAGGAATAGGAGAAGGCCGGACGATGACTGGAAGGATGGATTGGCCACCGGAAGTTCACGGAGACGGGGGAAAAGAGAAATGCAGCATCGTCCCAGGCGAGTTGTCTCTGGCAGCGCTGCGCGGCGTAAAGACGCAGCTGGGCAACGACATTGGCGAACATTCCGGTGCGTCATGCCGTTTGATGGTCCACCAGAAAAACGTGCGAAGCCTTACAAACGAAGACCGATTCAGAGATCTGTTACAGGAGCTTCATGGGATAGCGTGGGACATATTGCTGCAAACTGAAACTTAGCGGATTACCGCTAGGGGGTTGGTGGCCGCGTTGTCGCTGGATCTGGGTTCTCGGTAACCAGCGCGGCCTGCGATTACTACGCACAGAAGATGGGCTACACGCAGTAGCAACGTCGCGGCTATGTCAGAAAGGCGTGAACCCATCGACGTGCAGATGAGGGATATCACGCATCGGTTAGTTATTTCATATTTTCCGAATTCTGGGCATGGCGACGATCGCGCCCAGCTCGCGCGCGCGTCAATCGCGCGCATTCTGGGGCAGGCCCGCTGCAACAGATGCAGTTTTTTTTTGCTGCGCGCGCGCGCGTGGGGGGGGCGGTTTTAAGGCAGAAGTGGGCAGTTGGCTGGAGACAGAAAGTTTGAATGTCATCGGGAAGCGCGGTCTCAATTGCGAAAGCTCTAGCGGCCGTTGGCTCAAGCGCGGGGTTTCGTTGATGAGTTCCTTCCGAAGCCGCCGGCCCAACGAGAAACGCGCGCAGGATGGAATTATGGACCGCGCTAGATAGATAATTTCGTCGTGGACAGGAGCGCGCGGAGAGGCGCCGTGGATGTCTGCGCCGCCCGCGACGTCATCATGGGGTCGCGTCGCGGCGCCACGCGCGTGCGCGCTCGGACAGGCGAGGCCAGAGATAAGAAACATCCGAGGCGTCGGTCGCGACGGATTCGGTGGTAGCACGCCGACGGCAAAAATCGCGCGTTTCAGCAGCGAGCACGCCGGTTGCTTCGAAGACGCGGGATGGCGATTCAAGCGACAACGCGGGCAAGGCGGGGCGGGCATTGGCCGAAGTTGCCGCTGCAAATGGCGCCGGCGCCCGCGCCGCCAACGGCGCGAACTTCCAGGCGTTCCGGGGGGGAATCCGAGTTTTGATCCATGGGCGGAAGGGCCCGGAGAACGTCGGCGCTTCAGAGAGGCCCGTTCTGAGCACGCGCGCCCTGGGGCGGGTTTGAAATCTGCGCCGGGAGAAGCGCGCCAGCCGCATCAGTACTGCGGTGGAGACTTCCGAGCTAGAATACACAAGTAAGGACGTGGTGAATGTTGTTGCCGCACTCTGCGAGCAGCGTTTTTCGTCGCGATGCCGAGTGGAACCGCTCCCGGGAATGGCGAGCACCATTGCCCGTGGCAGAGTTGTTCCGCCCGCCCGCGTCGCGACCCAGAAGGCCGCGCAACAATTCAACTGGGACAGATGCACAGACAGCGCCAGGGCGGTCGTAGAGATGACCGCAGACGCTGGATACGTCGTTTTTGATGTCGTTACTGGCCCGCACAATCGCGCGACCAGTCCCAATGCGCCGCCGCCAACGTCATGGAGGAGGGCCGCGATCATAATCTCCAGATGGCTGGAGACGAGTGGCTTCCACGGAACTGCTGGCCGAACACACCATCCCCCCTCTCTGGCGCAGGCTGCTCGCGCGCGTCTTGCGCAACAGGTCGCAGCCCATGCTGGGCGCCAATGAGAGCAACGACCAGGCTGGTCTCAATGCGGGATTCTCTACGGATGACCGCGTGTCTTCAGGTGCCGTGCTTTTGGAGAAAACGAAGGAGGGTCATTCTCCATGGAGCACCAAGCGCTCGATTCCATTGATCACCAAGCACTGCGGCGTTCACTCTATCGCCGTGGCGCGCCGATTCAATGCGCCAAAGCATTGGGGCATCTGCGCGCCAGACAAGCGGCCCAAGTTGCGACCGACAGGCGGAGCACATGTTTCTCGACTTGAGTGAGGCACCCAGCATTGACGCCTTCCCAGCTCGCTGATCCGCCAATGCTCGCTGGGCGACGCGGCGCGCCTGGTCGAGGATAGGTGGCTGGCAAGAGGATGCGGCGTCCCGCGTGGCTTGCTTGCATCGTCGAATTTGAAGCATTTGCGTCGCGTTGACGACGCGCCCCTGCATGGCAGGACGCAGCGCCATCTCGGCACTGCGCTGTCCGATGCGAGCGCAGTTGCCGCCGATGTCGACGCGCCCCCCCCCCCCCCCTCGCGCCGCCGCCGCCGCCGTCGAGGCCGCCCCTTGCACGCGAAGGCGCGAGCAGTCGCCGCCAGGGGGAGATGACGGGGGAGGGGTGCAGAACTTCTAGTTGGCGATCTGGCAAGTGCGATGCTAGGGCACAAGCTGGGCGGTGAAGAACTCGGACCATGCGCCGAGGACGTCGCCAGACATTCGCCCGGAGATGGGACGTCGCATCTTCGCGGCCCGGCGAGCTTTCCTGGCGAGAAAGTCTGAGCTTTCGGACCTGTGCACGATTCGTCGCGGTGGCTCCAGCTGTTGTTGGGCGCTGCGGCGCCAACGGTGCGCCGCGGGGCGTCGTCGTGGACGTTGACGCACGACGCGCCACCGAAGCTGCAGCGCACGCAGAGAAGGGCTGCGGATGGTCTCCGGGGCTCGCAGGCACGCGGTCGACCGGGGCGTCGCGGCCCCATGCGCGGGCCCAGGAACCGATGGGCTTCTCGATGCTAGCGACAGCGCGTCCACAGAGTTCCGCGCGGAGAACGACAGCGAGAGGCATGGTGGCATAGTGCCGTGGACTTCTTGGACGCAGCGCGCGATGGCCAGCGATGAACATTACGTGAAGAAATTGCACATTGACGACCGGAAGAAAGTTTGGCGCAGGAAGGCGCGGATACTCCCGCGCCGAGTGGCGCCGTCAAGCTATGTTAGGTGGACGTCGAACGCACCGTCTTGGCACGCGGGGTTTTCAAGCTATTCCCAGGGGGCGCCCGGCCCGTCGGCGCAAGGATATATGGGTAGATGGTGTCGTAATGTATTTGCAGCAGAAGGGCGTTGAGGCGATATCCGACAGTTGGGCCAACCTCGCTGCTGACGGAACTGAATGGCGCAAATTGGAGGCACACCGCGTTGCATGTTGACTTGAACTCTTCGGCGTGTCAACGGGCCATGGGCAAATGCTCGCTTCTTGGCTTGGGGGTAATTTCGATTGGAAGCATGTTTGGTACGTTCCACCTCTGAGCGCCGTGGCGCTGCCCGCCCACTCCGCCGCGGAGCGCGCCTCGGCGCGACGCGGGTGTCCTGTCATGTGTGTGATTTGCTTGTTGTGCCCACCGCGTGGGCGGCATTTTGGGTGACTTGCTGGAGCTGGTCCAGGATTTGATGCTGTGGCCATAACTTGTCCTGGATGTTTCTCAGGCTGTTCAGCGTGAGCTGGATGTCTCGGGGTTTGGGTGCGATGGTGGGCTAGGTGCATGATTGTGTGTCAAGTTAGCTAGGTCGAGCCAGCCAGAGGGCCGCCCCGCCCATTCCTGCCCCCCCCCCCCCCCCCCACCCACACCACCGCCAACGCAAGCGCGGCGCAACTAAGCACTGGTTCTGGAAAGCGCGGCCACTTCGCAAACGGAAGGCGCGCGCGCGAGGTCTCGCTTCCGACGGCTTGGCGAGGAGAGAGCGACGTCGGCCGCGCGCGGGCGGGATGAGGAACACTTTCGATTGGCGCGGCGCAGATGAAGCGCGCGCCGCGCTGACACAGCATGGCCGATTTCATTCAACCGTGGCGCAGGTTTTTGGCGAGGTCGGCATTTGGCCCGCTCCCGCGTGGCCCCGCTGCCGCCGTTGCTTCCGCGCACGTCAGCGAACATGCCGTGCGCCGCGCCCTCGCTGGAACGCCATTTCCGATCCGCGCGCGCGCGACATTCGGGCGACGGCAAGTCGCGCGGCCCCCAGAAAATTTGCGAGTGCCAAATCTGCGCTGCGTCGCGGCGGGAGCGCCACCCCTAGGCAAAACCTGCGCGGTGCATAGGCGACGCCGACACTTTGGCCCGCTAGCGCGGCGACGGACACGCGCGAGACAAATGCGCGCCGCGCCCGAGCGGGAGTTACATGTAAGGTACGAGTGGCATTCCGGCATTTCGCACGGGATGCGCGCCCCGCTCAATTTTGCCACGCGTGTCGCAACATGGACGACACAGTTTACATGTTGAACGAAAATGAAGGGGATCCCGAACCCCCCGCCCCTGGGATTTAGGGGGTGCAGACTCGCCCGCTCCGACAGAGAATTATCCAGGCGGTCCAGACCCCCACCCCGCCTCCCCGGGAACATTGTTCGATGGGGTCCACAGACCTCCCTGGCAATGGCGACGACTACGCTCGCAATGGCGTTGCCGCCCCCAGCAAACGACGCGGACGACGACGACGACGATGACGACGACGACGGAAACCCCAACGACGACGCCGACGACGACGACGACAACGGCAATGACGACGACGACGTCGACGACGACAACGACGACGTCGACGACGACGACGGAGACGACGGACGGACGACGCACGACGACCCCGGCGACGACGACCGACGACGCGCCGACGACGACGAAGATGACGGTGACGACGACAAAGACGACGACGACAACGACGACGACAAAAACGACGAAAATAACGACGACGACGACGACGATGACGAGCAAAGCACAGTTGGCGTAAAGCAGGAGTTCTAGAAACAAGAAAAGGTACAGTAGAGTCGAGCAGGGAGGAAAAATAGAAAAGGGTAGAGCAAGGCTGAAAAGAGTAGAGTAGAGTAGAGCAGAGGGGAGGTAGAGTAAAGTAGAGTGGGGAACAGTATAGAAGAGTGGAGTTGAGCAGAGTAGAGTAGATCAGAGTCGAGTGCAGTAGAATTAAGATGATAAGTAGTGTGCAGCAGGAACACCATCGAAAAGAGTATTTTGGG